CACTTGTTTATGCCTACAACTTTCGATTAAAACTCTTGATGTTTGTAAAGGAAGGCACTTATACATTAGATGGGCTTATATCTGGGAGGGGCTTCATCATATCGGGAATAATATCTTTGTTAGCAAATAGATAGGCTTATATCGAGGGGGGCGTATAAGCGGGGGGGAGCTTAAAAGTGGGATTTTACGGTATATAGCTAGCTCCTTTAGCGGGAAAGATGAACCGAATCCTGCGCTGTGATTGGCTACCCACTCGAGATTACAGACTGTGTCCTGCATACAAATATTGTTCTTTTTCCATATAATAAATCCTTTATTGCCCAAGCGTCAGGATAAGATGTCTGGATATTGGCCTCGATCTTCTCTTATGTGTTTATGGACCTCGACTCCGTCTCAATCCATAAACATGCAAAGAAAGAACTTGACCAATATCCAGCCATCTTGGCCTCACGCTTGGTCAATAACCCATATGTACTTTCCATCCACATGATCACTGTTAAAAGGTAACTGACTAAAACTGTGTTGCTGAATGTGTAGCAACAAGAGGGTAACAAGTTATAATTTTTTTTTTGTTTGTTTGTTTGTTTGTGTTTTTTTTGTGTTTTTTTTTTTTTGTTCCTCGCCAGTGGTACCTGGGGCTGGTAGATAATGCTCCATGTCGGTTAATAAAAAATATTAACTCCGCTGAAGACAAGATGACGCAGCTTCATGAACAACTAAAGACTCACCAAGATAGGTGAGTGAGCTAACAAACAGAAGCCAGTATTTCTTTAAAAAGAGCTCAGTCACGGTATTTTGGGTTATTTTGGCCAAGTAGAAAATTAACTTAAAATTGAAGGAAACCTCAAAATTGTTATTTACTAAGATAGAAAAACACCATAAAGAAGCAAGTATGCTAAAGGATGGAGAAGATTAACACGGATTAAATCAACGAACTGGAAAATTTTTAATTCATCAAGTTCAAAACGAAATGAATCATCACTGCGACTGTGTTTGGATACATGATTTTAATTAGCATAGATTTCTACGATTTTATTTCGCCGTTTTCTCTTTAGTTTTAATTCCGATTGAAAAGATATATCAAACGTTCAAGACAGTGTTTGACCACATTTCCAAACACCTCGAATTTCGTCAAAAATACTCCGCTACGCGACGTATTTTCAACCCTCATCGCGGTGTTTGGAAATGTGGTCGAACACTATCTTTCGTGTTTGATCTATTACAACTTCTTATTTAATCCGTGACTTCACTAAGAAAACCGACGCATAACGATGTAAAGGGGCTTTGGTGAGATTTCTCTCAAAGCCTGAGCGGAAGGTGCTGTGTACTATTTATTATTTAGGAATTTCTATCTTACCCTTTCACAGCATCATGGCGTTAAGAACAGAAATGCGATCTCAAAGAACAATGCTCGAGAACATCTCAAGACAGTTTGGAGCGCACTCTCCAGTCAGTACCAGAACTGACCTCCTGGATGACTTCTAAGACATACTCAGCATTTAACAGCAATTGATTCAGCCAGGCTCGATGTCAATTCACAGGATTACATCGAAAGACATCTTAGCAATTTCCCGTGTCCGTATTACTCGATCTTAAAACAATGATTATAAACCAAAAGTCAATTTAAGCTCGGCTCTTGCCAAAAATGCGCTGCTACATGAACCGCGTGTACATATATGCTCGAATTATTGCTTCAAGTTATTCCAGGTAATGTGTACAGTTATAAACCAGTAGGGTCGCTATAGAACTTACAGTAGCTAATACAGTAGACGCTACAGTAGACGATAAAGTAAATGACGTGTAATAGGAAATGTGGTCAGAAGTAATGTAAATGGCTGATTATGAGCATTGATTAATTTATTAATGTTTACACTTAAAAACTAAGATCTATGTTATATTTCCTTAAGAGAATCTTGAAGTACGTTGTATTCATGCCCATCACAATACAAACCTTACACAAGGCAGAAATAAAATCAAAGTTAGCACTGTACAGACAGATATGAATTTGTAGAGCTGAGTATTTAAAAGTAGTTTATATATCTTAGTTTTCATTCACGTGAAATACTTCTGTGCTTTAAGCAACCCATTTATCAACTCTCTTGCATACAGCGTGTGTGTCCGGCCCTCCCGAGGTATCAACACCCTTGGTTCAATTATTCTACGAGCGCGCGTTGGATGGATATGGGACCTGTTGTGCCAAACTGGCGTCACTGATTTCCGGTTAGGCTTCAGCACAGGTAACTTGTTCGGGTCCCCAAACGTGCTTTAGGGTCAGAGTCCTTTGCACCACGCTGAATCAGATTTAAATTGGAAGGACTGACCCGGTGAACGTGAAATATCACGGAAGATGAGTGAGTAAAAAAAAAAATAATAAGGACCCAAAGTTGACAGACTGATTGAGATTCTCACCACGTGGCAACGCAAAAATGAAATAAATTCGCTGATAAGGTTGTCATAATGATTTCTTTAATAAAAACATCCATAATCTAAGCATGCTCTTTAGTCATTATTGATTGCAGAATTCTACGATGGCGTCAATGGACTGCAGGCGCCAAAATTCTCCATTTCTCATTTCTCCTTCATATTTCGAAGCTTTTCCCAATTTTTGTAAAAACTCATAATTCATACTTCATAGAACAATAAAAATACTCGAATTGTCCTCTATATCATTATTTTCGATCCTAGAGGTACATGAAGAGTATACTATTTAAAAACTTCTCCGTGTTTGGCAACTGTACAATAAATTATACTTAGCGTAACTATATATAAAAAATAAATACATGTCATATGATTTATTGTGGATCATCAACGAAACTATTAAGTTATTTTTGGTTTGGACTCAACTCCAAGAATGTTCTGCCATCTTTCGTTTTATGAACAGCACTACCTTGATTTTGGATTTCCATCACTTCATAGCGTCTCTTTTCCGCAAGTTCCTGTTAGTGCGAGGGCAGAACTCTCGAGGCAGTCCCTCTCTTCTATCATATTTCTGAACGACTCAAAGGTAGCCTCTGTAGGCATTTGTTTGATTCGTAACGTAATCTTTCCTTGACAAGTATCGTAGTGTAGCAAGTCACAAGAATGCTACAATGTGTATCATTTGAAACAGATGGTAGTTTTCCCTTCAGAATAACAATTGAATAAACACGGTTGACTTTTCTCTCTCCTTCTCTCTCTTGCCCTGGAAATGACGAACGACATTTCACACTGATGACGTGTCACGATGAAGCTGATTGGCTAATTATAGCACACGATTTTTCACAACCGACTCGAATCAGTGAGCTTCGTTGTGCTAAATTCTGAAATATCTCGAACAGTCTCGGAGATAGAAGCAAGTTAGCAACAGGAAAGTATTTGCGCAGGCGAGACATCGCAAAGACACAGATGTTGTTTTCCCGCTCTGATTGCCATGAAGATGTCAATCATAACGAACCAAAAGACACTCGTTCTGATCTTTCACCAAAAGCGTGATCTACTCCACCATAAACGACAACTGCGAAGCGTTTCCTGAAGCGGACTCAGCCATGGTGAGAAAGCTGTCTGATCTTTTGAGTGCGGGTAATGGCGGCAGTGCTCCCTGTCGGACTGTCATCCAGACTGGCTCACTTGATGATCGACCCGCCTTGTGCATCATACGTGGAGTCACCGGCATGTTCTTAGGAAGCTCGTACTCTTTAGTGTCCTGTCAACAAAAATTAACGAAAACGTGTGAATTATATCGTGTCTTGTATCTATGCCTTAGTCTGAAGAGGACACAAATTAACAAACGTTATAATGTCACACTTTTCACAAGAGGAGTTTGAATGGCTCAGTCAATCAATCAATCAATCAATCAGTCTTTATTCAAACACGAAATCGTATCTTATTTTCACAGTCTTCACAGAAGTAGTGTGAATTTACACTAGAGTATAATAACTAGACAACTACTAAACTAAGAAAAACAAATTTGATAAAAATGTAACTAATAAGTTCTCTTGAGTTTATAATGTGTTAAAAGTAACTTTTTTCTGCAATGAAGTTCTCTAATCGTTCTTTGGAGAAAAAAAGCAACTTTTGACTTGGACGTACAGGCATATGGAGGGCTTGGAAAGGAGAGCAAGTGTTTCCCAATCCTCCACCATTTGTTAACTTCCGGTCCACATTGCCCACGTAATCTCTTCGTGACTGCCTCGTCTCCATGCGCCGTCTGAAGTCCTTGTTGTAATGATCCCCGAGAATAGGCTGCCGACAAATTAATAAAAGCACTTCTTTTAAACAAATGTAAGACGGTACAGANCGAGAAAAAGCTCGCAATGCCGGAGCTTGCTCGTTTCATCTGTTTCACATTCATTCTTATAATGTCGATCTCCCTTATGAATCTGCTGGTGAGTAAATATCCCGTAAAGTGCTGCTTCTATAGCACTGTTGATCGAAATTCGTTTTTCTTTCATTGATTATTAATTAAGCTTTGGAACATCATAATAAATCGAATTCATTTCATTTTAAACCAGTAGGGGACTGTAACCGGAGGGGCTTGTAAGTGGGGAGGGCTTAATGGACAGTGACAGACTGTCCACTTTTCACGCAATTTTGTTACTGTTATTGTGGTATTTCATTTCTTTCTTTCTTTGCGTTTTTTTCTTGGTTTGTTTTCCTTCTGTCTGCTCGTTTTCCTGTATGTTCTTTTCTTTTGATTATTATGAATTGTTTGCTTTTTCATGCTCGTTCATTTTAATTTAAATAAGGACGATTTATATAATAATTCACAAAACATCTGGGCTGGGTTGTTCAAAAGCCGGTTAACGCTAACCCAGGATTAAAAGTTAACCGAAGTATTCAGAGAATTTCTCTTGTACAAAATTTTTTTTCACTGCTCATGTTTTGTGTACTTTGTGATTATTCAAACTCAAAACAGAAGACCAAAAAACCTCACCGCAAAGTTACAAAACTCAAATCAAAATTCGGGCTTGCTAATCCTGAGTTAGCTTAATCGCTGGGCTTTGAAAACAACCGGTCAGTTCTCCAGTACGGCTTGACTTTGACTCGGGCTTACACTTACCATTGTTTTAGCGAGCTCTTTAAAAACCAGTTCTTAACTGAGCGCTTGCATCGGTGTCGGCGCGCATTTTATAATTTCTCGTATTCTTTTCATTCTTTTTCGCCTTTATAGATTGGCTTGGCTGTTGGAGACATTGAGGCAGTGAGAAAGAACGCTGAGTTAAAACGCCTTAAAACTCAGGTAAAAAAAAAAAACAGCAGCAGTCTTGCTTAGTTTGCAGTACTGTAATTAAATTAGCCCTCAATCGAGGTAGGATAAATTCAGATACTACGACAAATTACCAGATATGGGTCGAACAAGCTAGTTCCATAACATACATGTAACAGGCGCGAGTGTATCCTGGGAGGATATCGACCGATGTCTGAGTTCGGGGAGAACTCGATATTCTCCCTGTAAACAGCCCGGAACAAGCTTGGTTAATTAGTAGTAATTTAGAATCATAAGACTGATTAAGTTCAGGAAAAATTCCACGATCATGACCAGGAAGATACCTTAAACTCCAACGGCGCAATTCTGATTGAAAGCCGATTTAGAGAACGCGTGCTCAAGTCTGTCGTGAAGGAAAAATTGTTGGAAGAAATATTGAGGCATACGCATAAGCTTAACTTTATAGAACCTCAATCCAAAAAAACTACAGGAAAGCCTAATACAGTACTTCTGTAGAAAATCTGGACCGGCGAAAAGGCAATCCACATGATTGGTTGATTTTAGTTCTTGATCGCTCAGCTGTGTAATAACGAATTGCGCAACTGACTTTCCTCTCAACAGATAGAATCACTTTCTCAGTTTGAAGACAGGACACCATTTCGCATAAGAGAGCGTTTTTATGCCCCTAAAGTGGTTCTTTATCCAAACTCAGGTTCCATGTCATTCATAAGGAGAATAACGGTAAGAACTGCTAACATCACACTCTCACACGAATACGTTTTCGAAAGCAAAATTTAAAGCACAATTTTAATTGTTATCATAAAATCCCACTTTAAAGCCCTGCGCTTATATAACTTCATAACGGGTTTTGGGTGGGGTCATAAACGGGGGAGGCCTTATATCCAGGGGGACTTACAATCGGAGTAAAAAAAATGTTTCGGAAAGACGACGAGATAAAACCTATCTGAGAAACGAATTAAAAAAGCCTACAGACAACATTATTGTTCACGTCCCCAATGCGTTAGCACAAGTTCTTTGTCCGTTCTTAAAAGACGGGATACTGACAAGCATGACGGGTGAAATTACCGGGGAAGCAAGGAAGGCACCGGAGGGCACTTAGGTTATTGGAGGTGGAATTGAATTAGCATGTGTGTATTACATTTACGGGAGCAAGAAACACAAAGCGCAAGTGAGGAAAGGAATACGGAAGGCTCAGAGTTCATTTTAGGCAGGCTACAAAACATCTGCGTGCACGGAAAACTGCCGGATTGTAGCTAGCTGTTTGCTCTGTTACCGTACTTCAAAACATTGTCGTTGAACAGTTGCGTTGTAAATGAACAATGGAACAAAACTCATAGCGTTGTTACATGTGCATGAAGATTTGTTTCTTTTTTTGGTATCGTTATAATTGTTGTTCTAAACTCCACAGCCACTTGTTTATGCCTACAACTTTCGATTAAAACTCTTGATGTTTGTAAAGGAAGGCACTTATACATTAGATGGGCTTATATCTGGGAGGGGCTTCATCATATCGGGAATAATATCTTTGTTAGCAAATAGATAGGCTTATATCGAGGGGGGCGTATAAGCGGGGGGGAGCTTAAAAGTGGGATTTTACGGTATATAGCTAGCTCCATTAGCGGGAAAGATGAACCGAATCCTGCGCTGTGATTGGCTACCCGAGCGGGCAAGATGGCGCTATCTTACCCGCTCGAGATTACCTGCTGTGTCCTGCATACAAATAGTGTTCTTTTTCCATATGATACATCCTTTATTGCCCAAGCGTCAGGTTAAGATGTCTGGATATTGGCCTCGATCTTCTCCTTTGTGTTTATGGACCTCGATTCCGTCTCGATCCATAAACACGCAGAAAAAGAACTTGGCCAATATCCAGCCATCTTGGCCTCACGCTTGGTCAATAACCCATATGTATTTTCCATCCACACGATCACTGTTAAATGATAACTGACTAAAACTGTGTTGCTGAATGTGTAGCAACAAGAGGGTAACAAGTTATGATTTTTTGTTTTTTGTTTTTTTGTTCCTCGCCAGTGGTACCTGGGGCTGGTAGATAATGCTCCATGTCGGTTAATTAAAAATATTAACTCCGCTGAAGACAAGATGACGCAGCTTCATGAACAACTTAAGACCCATCAAGATAGGTGAGTCAGCCAACAAATGGAAGCCAGTGTTTCATTTAAATGAGTTCAGTCAAGGTGTTTTGGGTTATTTTGGCCAAGTAGAAAATTAACTTAAAATTGAAGGAAACCTCAAAATAGTTATTTACTAAGATAGAAAAACACCATAAAGAAGCAAGTATGCTAAAGGATGGAGAAGATTAACACGGATTAAATCAACGAACTGGAAAAATTTTAATTCATCAAGTTCAAAACAAAATGAATCATCATTGCGACTGTGTTTGGATACATGATCTTAATTAGCATAGATTTCTACGATTTTATTTCGCCCTTTTCTCTTTAGTTTTAATTCCGATTGAAAAGTTATATCAAACGCTCAAGACATTGTTTGACCTCATTTCCAAACACCTCGAATTTCGTCAAAAATACTCCGCTACGCGACGTATTTTCAACCCTCTTCTCGGTGTTTGGAAATGTGGTCAAACACCATCTTTCATGTTTGATCTATTACAACCTCTTATTTAATCCGCGACTTCACTAAGAAAACCGACGCACAACGGTGTAAAGGAGCTTTGGTGAGATTTCTCTCAAAGTCTGAGCGGAAGGTGCTGTGTATTATTTATTATTTAAGAATTTCTATCTTACCCTTTCACAGCATCATGGCGTTAAGAACAGAAATGCGATCTCAAAGAACAATACTCGAGAACATCTCAAGACAGTTTGGAGCGCACTCTCCAGTCAGTACCAGAACTGACCTCCTGGATGACTTCTAAGACATACTCAGCATTTAACAGCAATTGATTCAGCCAGGCTCGATGTCAATTTACAGGATTACATCGAAAGACATCTTAACAATTTCCCGTGTCCGTATTACTCGACCTTAAAACAATGATTATAAACCAAAAGTCAATTTAAGCTCGGCTCTTGCCAAAAATGCGCTGCTACATGAACCGCGTGTACATATATGCTCGAATTATTGCTTCAAGTTATTCCAGGTAATGTGTACAGTTATAAACCAGTAGGGTCGCTATAGAACTTACAGTAGCTAATACAGTAGACGCTACAGTAGACGATAAAGTAAATGACGTGTAATAGGAAATGTGGTCAGAAGTAATGTAAATGGCTGATTATGAGCATTGATTAATTTATTAATGTTTACACTTAAAAACTAAGATCTATGTTATATTTCCTTAAGAGAATCTTGAAGTACGTTGTATTCATGCCCATCACAATACAAACCTTACACAAGGCAGAAATAAAATCAAAGTTAGCACTGTACAGACAGATATGAATTTGTAGAGCTGAGTATTTAAAAGTAGTTTATATATCTTAGTTTTCATTCACGTGAAATACTTCTGTGCTTTAAGCAACCCATTTATCAACTCTCTTGCATACAGCGTGTGTGTCCGGCCCTCCCGAGGTATCAACACCCTTGGTTCAATTATTCTACGAGCGCGCGTTGGATGGATATGGGACCTGTTGTGCCAAACTGGCGTCACTGATTTCCGGTTAGGCTTCAGCACAGGTAACTTGTTCGGGTCCCCAAACGTGCTTTAGGGTCAGAGTCCTTTGCACCACGCTGAATCAGATTTAAATTGGAAGGACTGACCCGGTGAACGTGAAATATCACGGAAGATGAGTGAGTAAAAAAAAAAATAATAAGGACCCAAAGTTGACAGACTGATTGAGATTCTCACCACGTGGCAACGCAAAAATGAAATAAATTCGCTGATAAGGTTGTCATAATGATTTCTTTAATAAAAACATCCATAATCTAAGCATGCTCTTTAGTCATTATTGATTGCAGAATTCTACGATGGCGTCAATGGACTGCAGGCACCAAAATTCTCCATTTCTCATTTCTCCTTCATATTTCGAAGCTTTTCCCAATTTTTGTAAAAACTCATAATTCATACTTCATAGAACAATAAAAATACTCGAATTGTCCTCTATATCATTATTTTCGATCCTAGAGGTACATGAAGAGTATACTATTTAAAAACTTCTCCGTGTTTGGCAACTGTACAATAAATTATACTTAGCGTAACTATATATAAAAAATAAATACATGTCATATGATTTATTGTGGATCATCAACGAAACTATTAAGTTATTTTTGGTTTGGACTCAACTCCAAGAATGTTCTGCCATCTTTCGTTTTATGAACAGCACTACCTTGATTTTGGATTTCCATCACTTCATAGCGTCTCTTTTCCGCAAGTTCCTGTTAGTGCGAGGGCAGAACTCTCGAGGCAGTCCCTCTCTTCTATCATATTTCTGAACGACTCAAAGGTAGCCTCTGTAGGCATTTGTTTGATTCGTAACGTAATCTTTCCTTGACAAGTATCGTAGTGTAGCAAGTCACAAGAATGCTACAATGTGTATCATTTGAAACAGATGGTAGTTTTCCCTTCAGAATAACAATTGAATAAACACGGTTGACTTTTCTCTCTCCTTCTCTCTCTTGCCCTGGAAATGACGAACGACATTTCACACTGATGACGTGTCACGATGAAGCTGATTGGCTAATTATAGCACACGATTTTTCACAACCGACTCGAATCAGTGAGCTTCGTTGTGCTAAATTCTGAAATATCTCGAACAGTCTCGGAGATAGAAGCAAGTTAGCAACAGGAAAGTATTTGCGCAGGCGAGACATCGCAAAGACACAGATGTTGTTTTCCCGCTCTGATTGCCATGAAGATGTCAATCATAACGAACCAAAAGACACTCGTTCTGATCTTTCACCAAAAGCGTGATCTACTCCACCATAAACGACAACTGCGAAGCGTTTCCTGAAGCGGACTCAGCCATGGTGAGAAAGCTGTCTGATCTTTTGAGTGCGGGTAATGGCGGCAGTGCTCCCTGTCGGACTGTCATCCAGACTGGCTCACTTGATGATCGACCCGCCTTGTGCATCATACGTGGAGTCACCGGCATGTTCTTAGGAAGCTCGTACTCTTTAGTGTCCTGTCAACAAAAGTTAACGAAAAAGTGAGAATTATTTCGTGTCTTGTACCTATGCCTTAGTCTGAAGAGGACACAAATTAACAACCGTTATAATGTCACACTTTTCACAAGAGGAGTTTGAATGGTTCAATCAATCAATCAGTCTTTATTCAAACACGAAATCGTATCTTATTTTCACAGTCTTCACAGAAGTCGTGTGAATTTACACTAGAGTATAATAACTAGACAACTACTAAACTAAGAAAAACAAATTTGATAAAAATGTAACTGATAAGTTCTCTTGAATTTATGTGTTGAAAATAACTTTTCCCTGCAATGAAGTTCTCTAATCGTTCTTTGGAGAAAAAAAGCAGCTTTTGAAAGTGATAACTATTTTGCGCTGAAGTGAACAAAATAACCCTGAGTGACTTGGACGTACAGGCATATGGAGGGCTTGGAAAGGAGAGCAAGTGTTTCCCAATCCTGCTCCATTTGTTAACTTCCGGTCCACATTGCCCACGTGATCTCTTCGTGACTGCCTCGTCTCCATGCGCCGTCTGAAGTCCTTGTTGTAATGATCCCCGAGAATAGACTGCCGACAAATTAATAAAAGTACTTCTTTTAAACAAATGTAAGACGGTACAGAGTAATTAAACGCGGAATTTAAAGAAAGAACATTTTAGAACCTGGAACAAGTAAAGTATAAGACTTGATTACAACAATCAATATAAATTAATGCGGCAGCGATAGCAATCCCCCCAGGGGGAAAACTCCCATATGAAAAGGTCGGGGATGCTCGTGGGTAAATTTGAATTAAACCCGCCCGCGCTAGCAAACTGGACTCGAGAAACCTGCGAAAATTGAGCCTAAAAATGGAAATCATATTACTATTTCTTCAAGTGTACCCTTAACGATACTTTGACAGTCAAAAATGGTGGCTTTCCGTCATCAATGCAACACCCTAAGTGAGACTAGAATCCTTTTTTTTTTCCTCTAAGGGGAGACGACGGGCATCCCTGATATTTTCAAGTGGGACTCTTCCATGGGAGCAATGCACATGATATGCAAGAGAGTGCGTGTGATGATGTCAGCACTACATGTTCATTACCTGCTCAATAATGAAATGCAAGCAGGAAGCCAATGATGTCATATTATGAAAACGTATGCTAGTAAACACACACTTACCCAGGTCTGTGGATTTTTGTTTGATTTTTCCAGTACTAGGCTAGTCATGGACCTGTAGTACTCATTCCTCCTCCATGAGTACGGATCTTCTTCAGCTCCATCTTCACCTGGCCGTCCAACTTCAATAGCCGGCAGAAAATTCCTCTCACGAGGAGTTGTCGGTGTACTAGAGAGCACAAACAATAGAACTTTGTAATTTTGTTGATTGTAAAATACAGCTAGTATTACTAACAGTGTTTTCGTTTGAAGAGGAAAAAAAATCATCTTAACAACAGAAAAATAAAATAACTTTATCGACCACTAACAGTGAAACAAACAATGGAAGAGAAAACATGAAAATGTCCGGTCCAAAAGCAATGTTTGTTATCTACCTGACAAATAATCGTCACATTCTTTATGAAGTAAATACATATGTTACTCACAGCCGTAATAGCCGGGAAGCAAGAAATCTGCGGCAACTAGGGGAATGATAGACCGTTTTAGAAATGAGGCAAACCACCCACCGCTAACAAGGTGCGGGAAAACATCAACTGTGAGAAAAGCACTGGATTATTGCATTGTCACCCGTGACCAGTACGCATTTATTATGAGCAGGTCATGACTGTTTCTTTGTTTGTTCTTTGTTTACCTAGCTTTCCAGACAAAAGTGCAGATATAACATCAAATGTACTCACCTTGTGCTTAACCGGGGTATTTCCAATGTTGGTGGACTGGGACTTAGTTGCGTTGGACTGGCAGGGGGAGGAGAGGGTGGGTTGGAACTTGTTCCGCTCATCTCGCTAAGATGACGAGTTCTTTTTTCCACACTACCGTTGTCTAGAGCGCAACGAAAAAGAAATGTTAGTATACTTGGTAGCCCTAGTTACACTAAGCATCAATGGAGTGGAATGTGAAAACACTACTGTAGAAACGAAGGAGAAATGATGAACTAATAAAACGTTGATGGAAAGTCGATCAACTACAGACAATCGCAAATCGCTCGCTGCCGTCTTGTCCTTTCAAAAGAAGTCAATCAAGATGGCAGATTGCTAAGGGCTTAGACACAGCAGACACTATCATTTTGGGGTAATTAGATTACAACGTACCTTTTTCGTTTTCTTTTCTTTCATTACTAGTATGTCTAAACAAAAAAAGAAATAAAATAAAACTCACAATGTAACTACGAAGACCAATTTTCTATGCTTCAGGCAGGTAAAACCTTAATATTGTAGATTAGAGCAGTTTTCAATTGAGTTTCGTAAAACCAAAACCAAACCAATTTTTTACCAATTAGACTACTCAGCCAATCTTGAGCCGTAGTAAATCCAAAACCAAAGTAATTGTCTGATTACTTTCGACACCTAACTGAACATGTTATTGCTTTAATCGGTGACATAATTTTAGCTACATTTCAGGTTTGTCTTACCTTGCGACTCTGTACGAGCTTGGATCATCAATATTCCACAATCGTTTCTGTGTGATACAAAAAATTGGTTAGCATTTGCTTGTGAACACATTATTTAGGGTGTCATCAGCAGTTTACCATGAAATCCTTTGAAAGCACCACTCCACTAACCTGCCCGAACATTCCAATAAACTGGCCGTTCAGGGTCCAGAGCCTTGCTGTGCAGTCCTCAGAAGCAGACAGCAATAAGGCGCCTTGATCACGTGGTAAGTACTCCACACTGACCACAGAGCCCTGGTGCGCATGCCAGCCAGAGAGTACTGGAGGTTTGCCTTCTGGGTTCTCATCTGTGTTGACCACGCCTTGAGTTCTCGACCAAACCTGAAAGAAGACACAGCCATGAAGATAATATTAAGTCGCCGTTTCTTGGCTAATCTAATTCACGTTATCTGTACAAGCGATGAAGTCAAAACATTCACATGGTTACTTCAAAATATTAACTCTTTTATTGGTGGTAAATGTTGAAAAGCTAAAACGAGGTATGAGAAAGACTTCAATCGGTCAGTGCGTGAGACAAGCTACTTGGAAACATTGCCATCAACACAACACGAGCATTTCTTTACATAAACGATTTCTCATGACTTGGTGTTAAGTTAATACACAGTAAACTACATGTACCTGAGCAATGATGGTTTCTGCTCTTGAAATGCAGTAGGAGCTGATGTCCCATACAGAGATGTTCCCATTAGAGTCTCCAGTAATCAACATATCGTTACTAGGGTCTGTTGCTAGGGCGCACACACAGCTGTCTTCGTCATCTGCAGCCCGATATCTCCCTAAGTAACCAAACACAAAACAATCATGGGTTTACAATGAGGGCGATAATATCTGGACTAAGGAAAGGCTCTGTACAAGCATAGTCAGTATCACTATGGCTTACTACTCAAGAGTAATTGCCATACTGTTAGAAATCAAAGTACGAAAATGAAAATGTAGGAAATACATTCCAGTTGAAATTCATTCGAAAATAGCCCAAAGAAAATACGCCCACTGATTGGTTTAAAATCGTGTTTCTATTTAACAATTAGATTATGAGCTCGAGATTTCGACATTAGCCTATCTGCTCGTGTTTCCCCAGCATTTCTCTCTCGATGGAGACACCGTACATGTTAAATTGCTACAGAGTCGAAACAGAATATCTCGCTCGTTAGCCAGTCAAAATAATAAGAGATTCTTTGAACCATGCGCGATTCTGTAAGAAGCGTAACAGCACGTGATGTTCAATTACATACCCATGGGTCTATTCGCACCGTACAAACACCAAAACTCCAGAGTACCAGCCTCTGATGACACAAGTACAGCGCTCTCTTGAGTCTTCCACTGAGCCCTTGACGTAAGAAACAACAACTTGTCCACCGGCGCACCAGCACAGCCTTGACTACAAAAGAAGACATCAAGAGCTTCAAACACTGAAATCACTTAGTAAGGTTAAGTCTGCATTCGAGCCAAGTGGCCCATCAGGCCGGAGTGTATCGGGTTTCTGTAGCATGAAGCGACTAGGAGTATTTCTACTCCCCCTTGATGGGATGCTAGTCCGTCACAGGGTTACCCCAAGCGTTAAAGTCGCCGGTACCCATTTGTACGTCTGGGTGGAGAGAGGCACTGTGAGAGTTAAGTGTCTTATTTATTTATTTTTTTTATTTTTTTTTTTATTTTTTTTTTTATTTCTTTTTTTTACAGGAAGGTACGTTGACATACATGCACTTTTGCCACCCCCTACCAAATTGCTGACATCTGACTGTTGTTACTTTTCAATCTTTTCAGTTCACCAAAAACAAATTAAAGCAAGCACAACTGATTGCCATTCGATTCCACCTCTCCCACATAAATTTGTCTTTAACTGGTCAAGAATTGAGTAACTGAGTGACAACAGCAACACTGCCAAGTGGTCTTACCTTGCTCTTTTGCAGTGAAGGAGTCCCAGCTTCTTAATCTTGGCTTTTCTATAACAAAAATAGAAATACATTGTTAATGAACCAAGATGAAAAAATGAGAAATAAGCAAAATATGTCAACACAAAAGGAATTATCAGACAATAATGACAAAAACGGAACTTCAGCGTACAACAAACTTCCCGAGCCTTTCTTCAGTCTTCGCATCATCTTTTCTCGGTCCAGACTCCAGAGAATGATGTCACCGTCAAAACTGGCCGTGGCTAGGTAGTTTGGAGGACAGAAAGCAGCAGTCAAGATGTCATCCTGCAAAAAAAAAAAAAAACGATTTTAGTCAGTTCAGGACAAGATAGAAATCCGCCAAAAATCGTCAACTGTCTGCCGACTAGCCATTTCAGCCTGTACACACGACTGCCTCTTGACGCCACATAGGCCATCCTATGTTTCAAAAGGAGTTTTCGGGCGAAACCGTTCATATGAAAAAGTATTCCGCCCACGCGTTTATTCTCATGCAAATCAAACTCATTTTCAAAATGCAAATGACAGATTTTGCACGAGGAGGAAGATTTTATCCGCCTGGTTTGACCATCTGGAGGAAAGTTTTTCTCAGGCCTCGTCCACACTACGCCGGAGGAATTTGAAAACGCAGCTTTATTTCTTCGGTTAGGCCTTCCGTCCACACTAATCCGTCACGAAAACGGAGTTTTTGAGAAACGCTCATCAAACCGGAGAAATTTGAAAACACCGGCTTTTCATTTTCGTGTGGATGGAACGCATTTTGAAAACGGAGCTTTTCGAAAACGATGGCTTCACGATAATCACGTGATTTCCCTGACCGAGTTTTCCTCAAACACAAATCCAAAATGACCGGTGATTGTTGCGTTTTTTTAATTCCTCCGGCGCAGTGTGGACGGAAACTATTTGATGCGTTTTCACAGTGAAACCTCCGTTTTCAAATTCCTCCAGCGTAGTGTGGACGGGGCCCGATAAAGGAGTTCAGTTCAAAAAGGTTTGCCTTGTGAAAACCAGCTGTCCTCCAGCTGCAAACGCTAATAAGACCCCTGAATTTATGGTGCGTGCAGACCAACACTGAGAAGTTTACCTCCGCTTGCTCGTACACCGCAGTTGCAAGGCCGTGAGTCCTACAAGCGGCGTCCCATTGTACAGTTCTGCGTTGACAAGAAATGTTGTATTGGCCAAATCACGAATGCGATGATCGCCGCACTTATCAACCGTTGTACATTTTTCCCGCTATTTTAGCTGCAGTGGTCACAGCTTTTTCCCGCGCTGTCCACTAGTAGATGTTTAAATTCGAGTTGAACGGGTTTTGTTTTCTCACGTACCAATGGACTTGGTTACTGTAATCTAGATCATGATTTAACTCGGGTCATTACAAAACTGTTCTAATACAGAGTGCCACTTTTTAATGCTAACATTTAGATGTACTTGGAAGTTACCTGATGCAATTGTCCTCCTTTCCAACCCGCATTTGGTCTGAGACAGAATGTCTGAGAGCAAAAAGTAGAAAGGTCAACACTCAATGGGTATTTTTATATAGCAGCCGCGCACCAGTCAGGAGGGTTCTGTTACGGCATTTGCAACAAAGCCGTTTGGTTACAAGCATCATTTTCTCGTTGTATTTTACACAAAGGGGAGTTTAACCAAACCACGACGATAACGGCAACAAGAACGTCACCAAACGAAAGATTTAATGAGCAGAACAACGGCTGTGCACGTGCGTTATAAATCCTTCTATATTTCTTAGCCGTCCTCTGCAAAACAACAACGTGAAATGACCAAATTCTGGATATTTTGCAGAAAGTGAGCCAAGACGGCTAATTTTTCATATTTTCTCCTAGAGTCGATCGCTGGCATTACACATTTAATTTGAGTAGGTTTTTAGACCGACATCTGGAGAACTGAAAAGATCTAGATACGTAATTCCGAAATTCAAAGATAAAATATAAATCCCTTTTTTACTAGGCGTCGCCGTCGTCACTACTTAAGGTCCCTAAAACTCCAAATNGCTTGGAAAGGAGAGCAAGTGTTTCCCAATCCTGCTCCATTTGTTAACTTCCGGTCCACATTGCCCACGTGATCTCTTCGTGACTGCCTCGTCTCCATGCGCCGTCTGAAGTCCTTGTTGTAATGATCCCCGAGAATAGACTGCCGACAAATTAATAAAAGTACTTCTTTTAAACAAATGTAAGACGGTACAGAGTAATTAAACGCGGAATTTAAAGAAAGAACATTTTAGAACCTGGAACAAGTAAAGTATAAGACTTGATTACAACAATCAATATAAATTAATGCGGCAGCGATAGCAATCCCCCCAGGGGGAAAACTCCCATATGAAAAGGTCGGGGATGCTCGTGGGTAAATTTGAATTAAACCCGCCCGCGCTAGCAAACTGGACTCGAGAAACCTGCGAAAATTGAGCCTAAAAATGGAAATCATATTACTATTTCTTCAAGTGTACCCTTAACGATACTTTGACAGTCAAAAATGGTGGCTTTCCGTCATCAATGCAACACCCTAAGTGAGACTAGAATCCTTTTTTTTTCCTCTAAGGGGAGACGACGGGCATCCCTGATATTTTCAAGTGGGACTCTTCCATGGGAGCAATGCACATGATATGCAAGAGAGTGCGTGTGATGATGTCAGCACTACATGTTCATTACCTGCTCAATAATGAAATGCAAGCAGGAAGCCAATGATGTCATATTATGAAAACGTATGCTAGTAAACACACACTTACCCAGGTCTGTGGATTTTTGTTTGATTTTTCCAGTACTAGGCTAGTCATGGACCTGTAGTACTCATTCCTCCTCCATGAGTACGGATCTTCTTCAGCTCCATCTTCACCTGGCCGTCCAACTTCAATAGCCGGCAGAAAATTCCTCTCACGAGGAGTTGTCGGTGTACTAGAGAGCACAAACAATAGAACTTTGTAATTTTGTTGATTGTAAAATACAGCTAGTATTACTAACAGTGTTTTCGTTTGAAGAGGAAAAAAAATCATCTTAACAACAGAAAAATAAAATAACTTTATCGACCACTAACAGTGAAACAAACAATGGAAGAGAAAACATGAAAATGTCCGGTCCAAAAGCAATGTTTGTTATCTACCTGACAAATAATCGTCACATTCTTTATGAAGTAAATACATATGTTACTCACAGCCGTAATAGCCGGGAAGCAAGAAATCTGCGGCAACTAGGGGAATGATAGACCGTTTTAGAAATGAGGCAAACCACCCACCGCTAACAAGGTGCGGGAAAACATCAACTGTGAGAAAAGCACTGGATTATTGCATTGTCACCCGTGACCAGTACGCATTTATTATGAGCAGGTCATGACTGTTTCTTTGTTTGTTCTTTGTTTACCTAGCTTTCCAGACAAAAGTGCAGATATAACATCAAATGTACTCACCTTGTGCTTAACCGGGGTATTTCCAATGTTGGTGGACTGGGACTTAGTTGCGTTGGACTGGCAGGGGGAGGAGAGGGTGGGTTGGAACTTGTTCCGCTCATCTCGCTAAGATGACGAGTTCTTTTTTCCACACTACCGTTGTCTAGAGCGCAACGAAAAAGAAATGTTAGTATACTTGGTAGCCCTAGTTACACTAAGCATCAATGGAGTGGAATGTGAAAACACTACTGTAGAAACGAAGGAGAAATGATGAACTAATAAAACGTTGATGGAAAGTCGATCAACTACAGACAATCGCAAATCGCTCGCTGCCGTCTTGTCCTTTCAAAAGAAGTCAATCAAGATGGCAGATTGCTAAGGGCTTAGACACAGCAGACACTATCATTTTGGGGTAATTAGATTACAACGTACCTTTTTCGTTTTCTTTTCTTTCATTACTAGTATGTCTAAACAAAAAAAGAAATAAAATAAAACTCACAATGTAACTACGAAGACCAATTTTCTATGCTTCAGGCAGGTAAAACCTTAATATTGTAGATTAGAGCAGTTTTCAATTGAGTTTCGTAAAACCAAAACCAAACCAATTTTTTACCAATTAGACTACTCAGCCAATCTTGAGCCGTAGTAAATCCAAAACCAAAGTAATTGTCTGATTACTTTCGACACCTAACTGAACATGTTATTGCTTTAATCGGTGACATAATTTTAGCTACATTTCAGGTTTGTCTTACCTTGCGACTCTGTACGAGCTTGGATCATCAATATTCCACAATCGTTTCTGTGTGATACAAAAAATTGGTTAGCATTTGCTTGTGAACACATTATTTAGGGTGTCATCAGCAGTTTACCATGAAATCCTTTGAAAGCACCACTCCACTAACCTGCCCGAACATTCCAATAAACTGGCCGTTCAGGGTCCAGAGCCTTGCTGTGCAGTCCTCAGAAGCAGACAGCAATAAGGCGCCTTGATCACGTGGTAAGTACTCCACACTGACCACAGAGCCCTGGTGCGCATGCCAGCCAGAGAGTACTGGAGGTTTGCCTTCTGGGTTCTCATCTGTGTTGACCACGCCTTGAGTTCTCGACCAAACCTGAAAGAAGACACAGCCATGAAGATAATATTAAGTCGCCGTTTCTTGGCTAATCTAATTCACGTTATCTGTACAAGCGATGAAGTCAAAACATTCACATGGTTACTTCAAAATATTAACTCTTTTATTGGTGGTAAATGTTGAAAAGCTAAAACGAGGTATGAGAAAGACTTCAATCGGTCAGTGCGTGAGACAAGCTACTTGGAAACATTGCCATCAACACAACACGAGCATTTCTTTACATAAACGATTTCTCATGACTTGGTGTTAAGTTAATACACAGTAAACTACATGTACCTGAGCAATGATGGTTTCTGCTCTTGAAATGCAGTAGGAGCTGATGTCCCATACAGAGATGTTCCCATTAGAGTCTCCAGTAATCAACATATCGTTACTAGGGTCTGTTGCTAGGGCGCACACACAGCTGTCTTCGTCATCTGCAGCCCGATATCTCCCTAAGTAACCAAACACAAAACAATCATGGGTTTACAATGAGGGCGATAATATCTGGACTAAGGAAAGGCTCTGTACAAGCATAGTCAGTATCACTATGGCTTACTACTCAAGAGTAATTGCCATACTGTTAGAAATCAAAGTACGAAAATGAAAATGTAGGAAATACATTCCAGTTGAAATTCATTCGAAAATAGCCCAAAGAAAATACGCCCACTGATTGGTTTAAAATCGTGTTTCTATTTAACAATTAGATTATGAGCTCGAGATTTCGACATTAGCCTATCTGCTCGTGTTTCCCCAGCATTTCTCTCTCGATGGAGACACCGTACATGTTAAATTGCTACAGAGTCGAAACAGAATATCTCGCTCGTTAGCCAGTCAAAATAATAAGAGATTCTTTGAACCATGCGCGATTCTGTAAGAAGCGTAACAGCACGTGATGTTCAATTACATACCCATGGGTCTATTCGCACCGTACAAACACCAAAACTCCAGAGTACCAGCCTCTGATGACACAAGTACAGCGCTCTCTTGAGTCTTCCACTGAGCCCTTGACGTAAGAAACAACAACTTGTCCACCGGCGCACCAGCACAGCCTTGACTACAAAAGAAGACATCAAGAGCTTCAAACACTGAAATCACTTAGTAAGGTTAAGTCTGCATTCGAGCCAAGTGGCCCATCAGGCCGGAGTGTATCGGGTTTCTGTAGCATGAAGCGACTAGGAGTATTTCTACTCCCCCTTGATGGGATGCTAGTCCGTCACAGGGTTACCCCAAGCGTTAAAGTCGCCGGTACCCATTTGTACGTCTGGGTGGAGAGAGGCACTGTGAGAGTTAAGTGTCTTATTTATTTATTTTTTTTATTTTTTTTTTTATTTTTTTTTTTATTTCTTTTTTTTACAGGAAGGTACGTTGACATACATGCACTTTTGCCACCCCCTACCAAATTGCTGACATCTGACTGTTGTTACTTTTCAATCTTTTCAGTTCACCAAAAACAAATTAAAGCAAGCACAACTGATTGCCATTCGATTCCACCTCTCCCACATAAATTTGTCTTTAACTGGTCAAGAATTGAGTAACTGAGTGACAACAGCAACACTGCCAAGTGGTCTTACCTTGCTCTTTTGCAGTGAAGGAGTCCCAGCTTCTTAATCTTGGCTTTTCTATAACAAAAATAGAAATACATTGTTAATGAACCAAGATGAAAAAATGAGAAATAAGCAAAATATGTCAACACAAAAGGAATTATCAGACAATAATGACAAAAACGGAACTTCAGCGTACAACAAACTTCCCGAGCCTTTCTTCAGTCTTCGCATCATCTTTTCTCGGTCCAGACTCCAGAGAATGATGTCACCGTCAAAACTGGCCGTGGCTAGGTAGTTTGGAGGACAGAAAGCAGCAGTCAAGATGTCATCCTGCAAAAAAAAAAAAAAACGATTTTAGTCAGTTCAGGACAAGATAGAAATCCGCCAAAAATCGTCAACTGTCTGCCGACTAGCCATTTCAGCCTGTACACACGACTGCCTCTTGACGCCACATAGGCCATCCTATGTTTCAAAAGGAGTTTTCGGGCGAAACCGTTCATATGAAAAAGTATTCCGCCCACGCGTTTATTCTCATGCAAATCAAACTCATTTTCAAAATGCAAATGACAGATTTTGCACGAGGAGGAAGATTTTATCCGCCTGGTTTGACCATCTGGAGGAAAGTTTTTCTCAGGCCTCGTCCACACTACGCCGGAGGAATTTGAAAACGCAGCTTTATTTCTTCGGTTAGGCCTTCCGTCCACACTAATCCGTCACGAAAACGGAGTTTTTGAGAAACGCTCATCAAACCGGAGAAATTTGAAAACACCGGCTTTTCATTTTCGTGTGGATGGAACGCATTTTGAAAACGGAGCTTTTCGAAAACGATGGCTTCACGATAATCACGTGATTTCCCTGACCGAGTTTTCCTCAAACACAAATCCAAAATGACCGGTGATTGTTGCGTTTTTTTAATTCCTCCGGCGCAGTGTGGACGGAAACTATTTGATGCGTTTTCACAGTGAAACCTCCGTTTTCAAATTCCTCCAGCGTAGTGTGGACGGGGCCCGATAAAGGAGTTCAGTTCAAAAAGGTTTGCCTTGTGAAAACCAGCTGTCCTCCAGCTGCAAACGCTAATAAGACCCCTGAATTTATGGTGCGTGCAGACCAACACTGAGAAGTTTACCTCCGCTTGCTCGTACACCGCAGTTGCAAGGCCGTGAGTCCTACAAGCGGCGTCCCATTGTACAGTTCTGCGTTGACAAGAAATGTTGTATTGGCCAAATCACGAATGCGATGATCGCCGCACTTATCAACCGTTGTACATTTTTCCCGCTATTTTAGCTGCAGTGGTCACAGCTTTTTCCCGCGCTGTCCACTAGTAGATGTTTAAATTCGAGTTGAACGGGTTTTGTTTTCTCACGTACCAATGGACTTGGTTACTGTAATCTAGATCATGATTTAACTCGGGTCATTACAAAACTGTTCTAATACAGAGTGCCACTTTTTAATGCTAACATTTAGATGTACTTGGAAGTTACCTGATGCAATTGTCCTCCTTTCCAACCCGCATTTGGTCTGAGACAGAATGTCTGAGAGCAAAAAGTAGAAAGGTCAACACTCAATGGGTATTTTTATATAGCAGCCGCGCACCAGTCAGGAGGGTTCTGTTACGGCATTTGCAACAAAGCCGTTTGGTTACAAGCATCATTTTCTCGTTGTATTTTACACAAAGGGGAGTTTAACCAAACCACGACGATAACGGCAACAAGAACGTCACCAAACGAAAGATTTAATGAGCAGAACAACGGCTGTGCACGTGCGTTATAAATCCTTCTATATTTCTTAGCCGTCCTCTGCAAAACAACAACGTGAAATGACCAAATTCTGGATATTTTGCAGAAAGTGAGCCAAGACGGCTAATTTTTCATATTTTCTCCTAGAGTCGATCGCTGGCATTACACATTTAATTTGAGTAGGTTTTTAGACCGACATCTGGAGAACTGAAAAGATCTAGATACGTAATTCCGAAATTCAAAGATAAAATATAAATCCCTTTTTTACTAGGCGTCGCCGTCGTCACTACTTAAGGTCCCTAAAACTCCAAATAATGGATACTGTTGCGCACCTGAATGTCATCGTAATAGACGAGGATTTTACGATTCCATCCCACTGTTATTATTTTACTCTTCTCAGGTAATGAAATGATTCCGGTCACTTCATTTTCTCCTAAAGGATCAAGCTTGTTAAGCAAATGGCCATTGCTAGCATTCCAAACCTGCGTATCAAAAAATAAGGCGACAGAAACAGTAAGCAAAATAATCAAAAGATATCGCTACAATCCCTTTAGCAGTTACATTTACTCAAACTCGTGTAGCTGGTGTATTTACTTGTGGTCGTATAAGCGGGCGAAACAAGTTCCGTTTCTGGCAACTCTTCGTTGCAATGCCCTAGGACTTTACGATTCTTATTACCCAATCAAAAAAGAGCACGACCACTGGCGAGTGCTGCGAACACGCAAGCATGACGCAGTGAGACTATTTCATGTTGCTAGGTAACCTTAGGAACGAAAACCTGGCACTACAATCAATTTTTTTGGTCTACAGATTGCAGACCATTGTATATTTTTGTTGTCAAATTGTTCTTGAACCCCATTTGATGAACGGTGACTTACATGTATGTTGCCGCTCCTGTCACCAGTCATAAGGCGACGCCCTGACGGATCCATCGTCATGCAAGATATTTCTTCCGCGCCATGAGCCTCTGCAATATGCTGCACCTTCCGGCCAGTGCTCAGGTCCCAAAATGTAATTACTGATCCCTCACAGCCAGTGATCACTTGTCCCATGCTGGGATTATACAAAGCTGCACACAAAGGCCTCCAGTGGGTGGTCTTGCTGCTTTTATTAGCGCTCATAGCCACAATCTTGATTTCTGCAAGGCAGTCGTTACTACTAATAAACAAGGAGTTGATGGGCGATGTGATGAGAAGAAATGGGAAAGGACCATGTTCAGGGATTCTGTGACCAAATGGAAACCTGATGGGAATCGTCTGAAGACAGACTTGTTCTTTGATGTCCCAAGACTTCAAAACCTGCGATTCAAGATAACAATTACAAGGGAAAATCTTAACAAAGGTCTAAAAATGGAAAGTCTTAAAATGCGAGTTCGCCTGCCACAATCATGGTTAATTTAAAAGTCGATACTACACTATCTTTCATGTTTCAACAATTAGGGCACTTTTACAACAAATTGTAGCGCTGTAGACAGTGTAACGTTCTTCCAATATTTGCATCGCACCGCACAACGCGTCGCTTTCAGTCATTTAAACACCGTTAGACAAAATAATAAATATTCTTTTTGTGTTTCTTACTCCATCTTTGTCATAACTGAAGACCTGTTCCAGTGCCTCGTGAATAGCCAAGTCAATGATAGAGGACTGGTGTCCCTTCATAATAGCTACAGGCTTCACTGTGACGTATGGATTCCACAAGCGAACAGCATGATCCACTCCACCAGTGCAGATAACATTCAGGGTGTGACTATAGTCAAAACATTCCACGCCCTGAATGAAGAATCAATATCACAAATTATATTTTCGCCCATACTCACAAATTATATTTTCGCCCATACTAGTTAGACTTTGATTGGTTAAAACGCGTCTAGTGACCGAATATGTTCTAGCTAAAACTGGGGAATATTTGAGTGTTATTCCCCAGTTTTCAAAACTACGCTTGCCCTGAGAAGAATAACAGTTGATACATTTATAATTATTTACCTTGGTCTTATTAATTACAAAGTCTGTACAGAAAGTTAGCATTTTTTCTACACCAGTGGAAATTGTGTTTACCTTTGCAACTTTAAAAGTGTATGTTTTCCTTTTCTTATCATCAATATCCCTGACTACAAGTGAATCCTTTCCACTGCCGCTGCATGAGATAACAAACTCCTTCAACGGAATGTACTTTACTCTTCTGACCCAGTCAGAGTGAACTTGACCCAGGGTGTGGCATGTTACAAAACGAGAGTGACTTGACAGGTCCTACAGAAAAAGAGATCATCACTAAGAAAATACATTTTATTAACAGCAAAAATTCAACATCTAACAAAACGTGGCCTGAACATACACGAACCTCCCTTCATCATTAAAACTGCTGACCAAAATATCTCCCTTGACTCAATAGTAAATTCACTACGCATTCCAAATTCCCCTGCAAAATTGCCAAGTCAGCCAAGGCAATTTTCGAACTACAGTGTACATACTTTAAGTAATTTTGTTCATATCTGGGTGACCTGTCCAACAGATACCTGGAGCAGTTTCATGATTGGTCAAAAACCCTCAGGGGCACTCTCTTTAGAGCAAAAAGAGGGCTTGGAGTACCCTTTAAAGGTACACCACTTGTTATAGTTTTTTGGAGAGAGTGTACTCCACAGGGCTTAAAACTTTGAGTCATGCCCACAAACCTAAAATCAGTTAACTCCTTACCTGAAGATAGACCTGATGACTTCCTGAAGTTTTCTTGAACGGAGTCTCAAACAGTCCTTTGAGAGGTGTTGAGAACACAAGGAACATGATCACGCCATTGTCCATTCCAAGAAAAAGCATTGATTTTCCAGCTGGTAACTGAACGAAATAACACATCCAGTTAGTGTCACTGTTTTACACATAAATTAAGTAAGCATGTTTTTACACTGTACATCAATATTACCAGACTACACAGCATAGCATTGTCACTTGAGAAAGTTTTTGATTAAATTGACATCTTTTTGAAAACTTTTTGCTGGCTTCTAATGGAACTGGCCAATCAAACATGGGAACTGTCAAGGGCAGAGGTGTCAAATTGTCAAGTTCATCATTCACTCTCATGGGAATTTCAAAAGTCTCATTCTGGCAAACGTTAAAACCTGAGCAGCAAGTATCACAGTTTGATTGGCCATTTGAAGGAAGCCATCAGAAGGTGCCCTAGGAAGGTAATGGCAAGATGCATAGCACTGTAAAGCACTGTAATTCCTACTACATGCTACATGCTTATATTGAGAGCAGATAGTAGGCATTTACCTTGCCGCTGCCCAACTGATCCAGTAACAATAGCCTAAGATAACTCTCCTCTAATAACTGATACATGTAACAAAACTTAAACACACCTTTCTGTTATAATGGTAATCAAGACAAAGGACCACATTTCCAAGAGCTGCAATCAAAAACAAAACAAGTCAAAATATAAACTGAAGAGATGCCTTAACATTAAGAATCTACAGAACATCAGTTTTTCCAGGTGCCCCATCAATTAGTGTAGAATTGTACTGGAGCGTTAAATGCCTTGACAAGGACACAGCAATGGCCACATCCATGAATTGCAAGCCTGAATTACTACGTCAGTAGTTATCGATATCTAGTATCATAGGCCCGCAGTGCATGCACAGGGTTACTGTTCATTGCCTCTTGCATCCATACATGTACCACCCTGACTACACCAATGGCACACCTGCATGTATGCTTCCAACAGTCAGCATTATAAAATCCAAAACTAATGGCCTCAGTCTCTGACATCTACAAACAAAACTGTTCTAATTAATAACAAATTAAAGCAACACTCACCACAAAGATGAAATAGTGGCGTGTAAATTGGTGTTGACATGTCATAAAAATAAATGTCCCTGTTGGTCGTAGAGAGAGCCATCTTATGCACATTTGCCATGGCAACAGCGTCTGTCACCCACATCTTAATATGACGCTTGTTAGAGTTTCGTTCAACATCAGAGCTGTTGTGCTCCATTTCAATTTTCCTTTGAAGTTCCAGTTCTGTGCTCCAGACTCCAATGATTCCTTCCTAATGAAATCAAAATAATGAAACCATTCAAGACTGCAGTATTTTGAAATTTATCCTCTGCAGGGATCAATAATTTACTTATGCAAATTTTGACTATCACAAATTCTAAATCATGCACATACATATATGGTAGTACCTTACTAACTGTGACATATCTCATCGGATTAAAGTCAGTGAGTATCTTTGTTGTCGTTTCCTAAAAACCAAAAAGAGCAGATTAAATGGAACGATGGTAATAAATTAGAAGTGCAGTTACTAAAGATGACCAAATCTAAAAAGTGTCAGCGAAGAAACATACATACACAATGTACTGTATGGTTATAGTTTAAAATCATTGCAACCAGTATTTTAATACCATGCAGAAAATGTGTATTATTAAGTAATTAAAACTGAGTCTGGTTCGAGTTCTAAACTGATTTTACATTCAACTTTATCAATGCCACTAGTTCGTGTCTGCCTGAATCAGTAACAGAATTGGATACTTCGGCCATGTACTACATGATAGTTAATTCTAGTATTTTCATGTACATGTACATGAAGTAGATCCTTATCACAGCCTGCTTTAAAAAATTTACTGCTACAGACAGACTGTACATGTATGTGTGTGTGTAGTGCTGACAGTACCTTGTTATAGTCTATTCTCACAATATTTGGCTTGGGAATAAATGTGTTGCTGTTCACTTTGGTGGCTTGGTCATTCTCTTCAAATTGAAGCATAAGATAAGTGCAGAATTCATCCCAGTCAACCAGGCCATCAGAAGCGATATCAACCTATAGTCCACAATGTGGTGTAACAAGATCAGTAAAAAGCACTGATAAGTCAATTAGAGGGAGCCCAAGGTAGAACATGTTTTACTATGCAAAGTGGTATTCCAGAGCTGCAGCGCTCTAGAAGTGCCCGGGTGCTACAGGCTACTATTACTTTTTGCCTTTAGGAGACTGAAAAAACATACTTTTTTCATATCCTGTTAAGCTTAATAAGTGTTGGGCACCCAGGATGTCATGGTTTAAACAGGAGCTTTTGGGCTCCTGGTAATTTCCTTAGACCACAGGTACACTGTACCTATAAATTTCAAACAGTAAACTTACAGAAATCTAGACATGTTTAAACAAAAATTGTTCAACAGACCCAGATTGGTTACCTTCTTAAATAGCATTCCTATCTCTTTCTCAAATAACGCCACCTTTCGGCTATCCCATGTTTCAACTCCTAGTAAATCTGCCAGCATTTCATGAAATTCTTCTTGCGTCATTAACCCTGCTGAATGAAACCTGCTTTGGTCTCTGTATACTGATCCTCGTCTTGTCAGCCATTTCTTGAGAGCTGTCTTATCTGGAATGTGCGTCATAAACTTGAACATAAGGGTTTCAAGATGATGAATGTCCAACTCTTCCTCCAAGCGCAGGGGCTCCAATCCCTTGGTATTGCTGAAAAATGCACAGGTTATACTACTTAGAAGGATATGCACTATTATTGTTGTTAATTTGTTATTATCATTATTATTATTAATCATTATTATTATTAAATTACGAATAATTATTATAATAAATTATTATTATTATTAATTATTATTTGTTATTACTTTTTTAATAAAAATATTATATTGGAGGGTAGTCGGTTGCATCTTTGATATGCCTCAATGTGACTCTGCGATGCAGTTATAAGTTCATGATTGCCAAGTCATGATAAATTTGGCTGTGTGACCGCATGATGCGGTCCCAGGCAAAGACCCACATTTCACCCTTGCTCACCATAGAGCCTCCAGTACCTCAATGGAGCATCAGGCTAGATCACGGAGGGTTATGGACTCAAATCCTATCTGAAACTCGGATTTTTTTCCTGAGTTGATGCCATTTCTACATCATTATTATCATTATTACTATTAAATTGCAAATAATTATAATTACTATTATATATTAGCAGCAGATCTAAATTTCAAAGTAAAGGGAAAGAGAGACAGTCAGAATACTGGGAACTCTGGCCTTTATTTAGATCTGTACATGCAAGTGCAAAAAATGTACAGTTCTGGGAAAATTCATCCTCTCCCCATGAAAATTCTCTCAGAGCGTCTTGAAGGCCAAAACTTTTAGCGAAAGTTGAAGCTAAACTTGGATTTCTTCAGGGAAGGGAGGGTTAAACCAAAAAAAAATGGAAATAGCAATTTTCTGAATGTATACGTGAACTCACATGACTTACATTTGTATCATACCCACTGGTCTGTGGGTAATTGATATAATCCTTGAAGACAGCAATAAAACCCCACATTCAAAATCTGAATGTTATATTTTGTTATTATTATTTACTCATTTATAGCTGCCATTTAATTTGCTAATAAAACATTCCTGACCAGCCAACTCTCCCAGGTTTTCATTTGAGATCAGGTTATTTGGCTGGATAAAACCAATTAAAACTACAAACTAATTGTGGTCAACAGTATCACTCAAGATCTATAAAATTAACTAGTATGTACAATACTTTATCAGGATCACTGTCAAAGATGAAATTTAATAGGTCTTAACAACAGCCAAGATGCAAAATGTTTTTGTTTTTTTTAGACTACACAGAGTCACAGATAAGGTAACAGTAACAAAGTGTAAAGTTTGTTTAGCCACACACAACTGTGTAATGATATTAATAGCTCCAGGGTGCATGACTACGTAAGATACAAACAATGAAGAACTGGGCAGAAATCCCAGCTGGAGTCATAAATGACTTCACTACTTGTCAAAATATAAAATGCTGAAGTAAAAAGACAATGTCTATAGAAACTACTGACTCACTTGGCACCCATGATGCTGAAGACCAAGGGTTTCAATAACAGCTTCTTTGTTTATACAAGTAATCTCATGATTAGAACACCTAAACATCCGACTATTTTCTTCTGAAGTATCTCCTGCATGCTCTCATTCATCAGAGTTTTCTACTCTTGGTGAAACTAATTTTCCATCAATTAACAGCAAAATAAAGCATTTCTAGGAGTCTTTTGCACATTTTGAAGCCTCTTACATGTAGTCATGGCAGTAACAAATATCACAAGTCACACTTGGTTGATTACAAAATTAAATTCTGTTAAAATTTGAATTGTTAATTAGATAGTTCTTGAAATCACTTTGAACAAGACAAAGAAAAACCTCATGACAAAAGAAACAAAAGATAGCTTAGGACACAAAAAAAAAACAGTGAAAACAATTGCATGATCAAACATCACCCACCAAAAGCTAAAAACAAAGGTTTTCAAGAAAGGCAATTCAAAAAAAAATTCAACAATATTACACAAGCACAAGCTTTCAATTTGAATAATAAAAAAGTATAACCTCACAGCGAAATACTGAAGGTGAATTCATGAACTTTTAAATGAAATGTTCACACTGAAATAATACATTTGGTCTTGTTCGAAGGTTGTAATTAAAATTTTCAAGTTAATTATCCAGTGTTTTTTTTTAAATATTGAAATCTAAGAAAAACAAAAGGGAAAGATATTTATCTAATTAAATCTGGCACATTGAAGGAGGACACAATGAACGAAAGCAAATTAATATTTCATCTCCCATGTCTTTTTTGACATCTCTTTCTGTCATTTAATATTTGCGGCCTCCTTTCTACTAATATATTTACGGCAGCCAATTAGAGATTGATTACTTTTCTGATTTTCCAGAGATTATCTTTCATTAACTTTCAATCTCCTATCAACAAGAAAGCTCTTATGTACCTTCACTTCCATTTCAATATTTTCCATAAATTTACAAACTTGAAGAGATCTAGAACCTGCAAGTCTTCATAAAGTAGCTATTTATCTATTTTACCAAAAAATACCAATAGTACAAACCACAAACTCAAACTAATAAGAAACAAAAATGAGTGGAAAAAAGAAATGATAAAAACTTCTTTAATACCCCCTACCCACCCACCCTCCCCCCTTCCCCCAACCTTCCCAGTTCCCAGGTCTACCCACAATTTTCTGCTTTTATTCTACGGCACATGAATTCTCTGAGTTTACATTTTCAGCGAATGTTGGTGGGTTTGTAATATGGGCAAGAGAAATGAATGCCTTTTCATTTAAAATTTATTAAAAAGTTGTTAATGTGTAAGCTTAATACCTTTGTGTTAGCTTAGGCTAAAATTAAGACTGACTTACTGAGCTGCGCGTTTTTTACTGATTACTTATGTGATGTGTTTAAAGTACCGACAAGAATATCCAAAAAAAATTGATCACTTACTCGTGAGAAGAATCATTTGTGTTCACAGAACAGACGGTACGCGCAGCTGATTTCTGGAAAATAGAACGAAAGCAACGTGAAAAGCGCCGCGTGCACAAATTAAACAGCGCGCGCTAATAGCACTCCCCCCTCGAGTTGATTACCAAAACAAACACAGCAAAAAAAGCCCAGTCAATCTTAGCATCCTCGTTCAATAAGATTTCATAAAACGATGTTAAAATTCAAGCATTTGAAGAGACTTGTTCTGCAGCTGAAAATACTTGACATGCCATCGCGTGATAAGCAGATATGCAGATTAACCATTATTTATATCGACGGTCCTGTCAAGACAAAACATAAGGTCTTCCAAGACCCTCCACGTCAAATCTTCCCCAAATGACTAAATAACAACATTTTGTAAAGCGATGACACAAACTAACCTTTTGTTTTGACTGAATTCGCGACCAAATCACTGGTGCAAGCATCCGAACTGTTGTGGCGAAGTGAATCGATCCAGACTTTACCGAAGATGTTGCCGAAGGCAGCCGAGAGTTTCCGAACTCGTGTTCGGCTCCTGGAAGCTGGAGGAACGACATCTTGGTAGAAGCGGTTTCCTGGGTAACGGATTTCTTGTCCATGATGGAATACCTCTGTTCTCGAACCACCTTAAAATTATAAAGTCAAGTGTCGGGTAAACATCTTCTATGAAGTGGCCGCGTATACGATTTCCACTTCTAAATAAACATTGATCAGAGTCACGAATACCTAGCGGAAATAAGCGCTGCCTTGTGTTTACAAGCTTTTGATTTCTGTGTTTATATCGGGTAAAGCAATTTTTGCTCTCTCCGCTTTGGTGAACACTCTCCTCTCGAAATAGTAACCGCGGCTTAGTCTGTTAACAATGAAGTCGGATCACTTTGGCGCCTATCAACGAGGATATTGCACCATTAGACCGGTGCTCATGCAGAGTACCTCAATTTTTAGTGTATACTTGAGACGAAATATATGAAGTATTACCTTATCGTTGGCTGCTAAAAACTGTAAAATGCTGTAAAATGCCGCCGCTGGGCCTTTCGATTGGAATGAATTATGAATGCTTCGATTCTCTGACCTCAGCTGCGACAATTTACAACTAGTTTCCCTCCAGTGGTATTCTCTGTGAATGTGTCTTACCTCTGTTAGTCGACAGGACAAGTACCCCTGCCATATTTCAATCTCCCGTCACATCTTTGGAGAGCCTCTCTCTGCATTGACTCAACCCGAAACAAAGGAACAGCAATTACACACAAGCCGTAAGGCTGGAATAATCGTATTATGTGTGAAACGGTTGTCAATCAAGCTAAGCCGCTCTGAAAGGGTTGCCGAGGCAACGACACGGAGATCATAATTACCGTCTTAATTACCCGCTCAAAGAACCAACTGCGCTTTTGTCAAAGAGGATGACTGAAACAAAGAAGGTAAATTGAGGAATGCAAAGCAAGTTACGGACCAACGCTTCAAGACGAATACAAAACTGCCTTATATGTGGTTGGGCAGCAATCGCCAATGGCAAAGAAAAACTAGCGAAGCAAGTCAAAAAATGGACGGGAATGGAGAGACAATTTAAAAACAGGTTGCCAGATTCAACTGTCCGGATACTTCTGTTCGTTGGTTTGTTTAGCTAATCAACCCAGCCCTCGTGTAACACTGTCACCGACAATTCGAGGAGGAACGTTACGTGAAAATGGCTGCGAAAGAGCAAATGTCTTTCACTACACTGTGCGCAAGATGGCAAAGTATATTGAATATGAATAAATAAAATGTTTTAACCATCATTAACCTAAGATGCGTAAATTACATCATGTTACAACAAGCGGAAAGAGGGCTAAAGAAACTCTCTTTATAAGTTATATTTACAAGAGAGTCCATTGTCTTGCTAAACAAAAAATGTAGCAGTTTTGTTTACGATCACACTTATTTCCTTCAACTGCACAATTGCGGGTGAATAGATAAATGAGACACGTTTTTGTTGTTGTTGTTTTTTCCAATATAAAAACCACCCCAGGAATGTCACGTGCTCGCAGATGACAGGATCTACAACGCGTGAGCGAGAACGCTGTAATTACATTTGTGACGTACCAAATGGCAGCTAGATATGGCTTGCTGTTTAATGGCTCAAAAAGTCTCTACTGTGATGCAAAATTCATGCTCATGCAGCGAGTGTAATAAAGGGAAAGAATTTTTCTGCAATACAGCAAAGATGAACAAGCAAAACCAAGGTTCAGTGAAGAGGCAGCGGTGGCTGGAGAGGACAGGCCTGTTTGCGCAAGGCCTGTTGCAAATGACTCGAAGCTCTTTCAAGTCTGATCCTAAAAAAGGTTCATCCCATGACATAACAAGAACTGTTCAGTGGAGATTTGTGTTTTTCGACCCGGAAAACGAAGAGGAAAGATAAGCTAAGATCACTGTGCAAGCCTGAGAAAAGAACTTCAGTTTCAGGAAATAACGAGCATTTTAACGCAAGACTGAATTATTACTTCCTTCGTTGCATTATAAGACATGCTCTTTGATGGCAAAAAGAAACTGGCACAAACGTAAGCTAAATACTTACCAATATAAGACATAATAATATATCAACGAATGTGTACAATTCTTTTTTTCGTAAATTCGTAAGTCAGTTTGATTTCGTGATGAATTCGTTAAAGGTCTATAATTCTTTCTCGCCACTAGTGTGCCTCACTGATCTATTTCTATTTAATTATATTTTTCACCAAGCGAAAGTGAGGGTCCCCTCCGTGCACTTTCTCTTGTTTTCACTAAATATTTTTATCTATTACATGCAACAGCTTTAATTTGCACCTTAACCATTAATGCAAACTGGTATGAAGCATTGTGTCAGAATTCTGTGGCAGTCAGTCTGAATGGTGTGGATGGGAATGAACAACTGACGAGAGACGATCGATCGCAATCTCTGTTTATAATTAGCTTTGACACACGAGAATCTAATTCTACACCTAAGACCCAGCACTTGATTATATACAAACATCATTTTTAAATCTTATTGCTAAGTTAATCGTCGTTCAAAGTTGTTGTGGCGTCATTCTGAGAGATAACTTGGTACATCTTCTCCAGTATCATTCGTTGGTCCTTCATCTCGCTGAATAGGGAATTAATTCTAAGGCAAAAAGAAAGAAAATGAAGGCTACTTTATTTTCTACGCAAGCTGTAAGACGAAGTTTCTGACTCAATACTTGGGAGTGTTTTTACAATAGTCTTTTAAAACATTTACTTATTTGCCGCGCAAATGAATTTTACTGAATTTACAAAAATAAGGTTTTACACTATTTGTGAGAAGAAAGCTTTTACTCAAAACACAGCCGGTCAACATGAAGAACATGATACAAAATTAACACTGCAGTTTTATTTGCCGACTTTAAGCGACGTCTTTAAGTAAAGCATCTCCTACCTTTTGTCTTGTTCCTTCATTTTTGAGTTAAAAATATTGGTCAGATGATCAACCAAGTTTCTTTCCGCGTCTTCAACTGAATATTTTGTTTTTCCGCTGACCAACCTGTCCCCAAGTCCCTAAAGACAAACATTAAGAAACAGGTATTGCACGGGTAGGTATTTAACAAATTGATGTCAGTTTTTCTTGCGTTATTGATCATGAATTTCGTCATAACATTGTCGAAGTAGCCAAGTGATCTGCGGACTATTTTGACAATGTTATGATACAATTCACTGTCAATAACACGACGCGTGAAAACTTGACGTCAATTGGCTTTTTAACAATGACAAAAGGCACAAATTAGAAATTCATCACTCTGTCCACTTATTGACAATGAAAATTACCGGAGATAAGCGCCGGCCTGATGAGCCACTTTGGGTCGTATGCAGACTTTACCTTTACCTCACCTATCTGCACCTACCTTAATTTTCTGAAACATAGTTTTGGCCTTCATGTTCGGTCTTCTAACAGACTCGGACTGATGTAGCCGATGAAGGAGCCATAGTGGCAACTTTTCTTTAAAGTTGTGAATGACTTCGATCTGTAAAGCCATGAAAACGTTTTTTCATCATTTAGTGATATGTCTTAGCTCACTAGAAGTCTTAGTAATCTTTATTGAGAATGTTATAACAGTTTTTTTCTGTCATTCACCACCCCTTTGGTGACATTAGTCGGTCGCACATGAATCACATCTTGGTCGGTTGATAAGACCTAAAGATGTAAATTATAAACCTGTGATGATGAGAGACACGGTCGGAACCTGCCTATCACTGGTATTGCTATGCTTATAGCATCTGTTTGCAAAGTGAATTTCGTCTTAGGTATGCATCAACATTCCTAAGAACTATGATTCCTCTAACGGACTACACAACAGTCAAACTGGTTTGGAATTTGAAAGAAACAAGAGAGTGTATCACCTTGACAGACAGACGCTTGTATTCTGCATTCTGCTGGATTGAATCGATGTCACCAACAGCAAGACCGATCTAAAGGAAAAAAACAAAACCGTGATATTCAGCAAAATAACTCTCCTCCAATAACACATTATTTTAACAACTCATTCTTCTAAAAAATCTACAAAGACAATTGAGTATGTATCCATGGAGACAAATTTACCTTACCTAACTTATCGTAGTCTCAATTAGAACATTGTTAATAGAGGGAAATGGTTGAGAAGCCGGGCAAACATCAAAGGAACAAACAAACAGATTAAGATTTATGTTGGAGGGTCCTTGACCCCCAGGGGGGTAACTTGACCCTTGTCTGGGTATAGGGGTGCCGCCCAGGGTTTGAAATCCTGACCCTGTTTAGGACATTTTTTGTTTTATGCTCTAAGACTATGCATGAATCACGTAATCGCAATGCTTCTATTGGTTAGTTGTATGATCACACACTCCCCATAAGGCATAACCACCTTTTGTATTTTGCCAGGTTTTGTGCAGGGTCAAACCCCAAAATAGCTAACAAAAACATACAACAAAGAACTTTGCCTGGTTCCATAACCATTCCCTCTATTAACTATGATTAGACTGGGCTATGCAATCTACGGCAATCGAAAAGAGGAATTCATCTTCCAGAGGTTGGGACTGACTTTAAAGGTTTACATTAAAATTTTAGTTCACTTCTAAAGCGACTGAAAGCAAAGCATGAAAAGTGCATACGCAAGAAAACACATGCATAAGTCATGTAATCAAACTCATGATAAACATTTCTCCTGTTGAGTATCTCGCACGGTTAGCAATTCAGATATACGCACAGAAAATACAGAAATAGAAAATGAGAAAATTTACGAACCGTCAAATTCATCAGGACAATAGGCATCATGACACAGAAAGTCAAAAACACAACACGGCTAAAAGTCGGGGAGAACAGCTGTTGATCAGTAAAGAAGCGTGTGTACTCAATTTCACCAATCGTCATGGCAACCACCTTGATTATTGACAAGTCCAATCTTCCAAATGGATCCTAGTAGGGCAAAAACAGTTCACCAGCTCAGGAAAACCGATTGTTTTTTTTTTCCTTCTGAAATTAGGTTCTTCCGAAACTGCTGTGAAATTAAATACCTTTTCAATCTCCTCCAATAAAGTGCCATTTAGCGTCATGTTAAAAGCAACAGCCTGTGTAATAAAGAAAATGTGGCTAGCTGAGTAGGATTACATGAAAGACTCTCACCTATTTGTGTTTAATTATAGCTTGATAATTACATTGTAACCTCCGTTATGAGACGTGAGTGAAAACCTTATATTTACCGTAGACTTCCAGATTTTCAGGTTTTACTTACATTTGCTTCCCTAGAGAGGAGCATTTGGAACACCAAGGCAAAGGCAAAAATCAAGATGCAAAACATTATTGCTACCTGAAGATAAAATAAAAGAAACGACACATTAAATGCAATACGTTTTCAGCCGCGCGTAAATTGGCCATAGAGCATTTAAAAGCGCAGACGTTTAGAGATTGCTCTATGCTCACAAGTCGCAGTATACTAAGTCCATTGCTCTATAGATTGTTTCATTACAAACCTTGCCTAACGTCTTCAGCACAACAAAAAGCATGGTAACATGAATCCCAGACTCAAAAATACTGAAAAAAACAATGATTGGAGAGAGTTAGTGTCCCTTCGGCACTTCTTATTCTATGTGAAGTTTCGAATAGTGTGAAAAACAAAAACCAGAAGTTATTACAACTAGTCAATCACAAAGGCAATTTATGAAAGGGATTACATTGTAATCATTACAATTACTCTTGCTCTTGATCGGGACAATAATGCACGGTTTCTGTGTTTGGTAAAGCCTGGTTTTCACTAGCGAAGCAAGCACAAGCGCAAGCACAACAATTCTTATTTCACCGTGAAAACAGCCTTAACGTAGGCATAACCATAAGCCCAAGCACGAGCACAAGGATCAACATTTTTCCTTTTTCTTATGCTTGCGCTTATGCTTGCCGGTTTGCGCTGCAGCAAGTGAAAACGAAATACAGCTCAGGCATGTCACAAGCACAAGAATATTTACCACACGTGGATATGTTTGGCCAGTGAAAACACTGGATCCAGATTACCTTGCCCCTAAACAGTCCGGAACGCTCGGATGATTTTGCTTGTACTTGTGTTTGCGTCGAATTTCGTTTTCACTTGGGTCATCCCTATTGCTTACGCTTCTGCTTGCGCCTGCGTCGCTTGTGCCTACGCCAGCGTCGCTAGTAAAAACCAGGCTTTAGCGTAAGCTTTACAAGGTTTGATTTCCGCCGCTAATTTGACTTTGGTCTACCCCCAGGGTAAGAGCACTCCCGTAGGGGCACTCCCATATAAAAAGGACGCGGGAACTCGTCGCAAATTTTGAAAAGAACCCCTAAGAGGAACCAAGATCCTGTTTTTTGGACGTGGCTTGAAATTTTTTAACCCCCAGGAGGTACCAATTCTAAAACAACACATTATCTGCAGTCATATCTTTTTCGGCTCACTACCCTAAAAGGTATCACAAAAGCTCCCGCTGTGGGGGTGTCTGGAAAACCCGAATAGCGAATAGCGAATAGCGAATAGCGAATAGTACGAATAGTGCGAATGGTGGCGAACAGTCTCGAATAGTAGCAAATAGTGGCAAATAGGGTACCCAGTATCTCGCTGTCAACCTCGCAGCAACGTAGGATGGAATTTTCCCGCTAAAAGGCACAAACGCTTATCAGGACAAGAGGTGTTTCTAAACGTAATTTCTTCTGTTTTAACCGCTCCTAAAGCGTAAATACGTCTTTATTAGGTTATCCTGTGTTTTCTGTTTTCTTAATGTCGGCGATGGACAGCCCTAGCCTGATTCCGTAGAAGAAAGGGTAATAAATTCACTGAAATTCTGTTGCTCATTTGGATAATTAATTAACGTAGGATATTAGATCTAAAGCTGTGACTATTGACGACTATTCGTCACTATTCGCCACTAGCTTTTCGCGACTGTTCGCTACAATTCGCACTATTCGAGACTACTCGCACTATTCGGGACTATTCGCTATTCGCTATTCGCGACTATTCGCTATTCGCTATTCGGGTTTTCCAGACACCCCCCGCTGTAGGCCTTTGGAGGCTTAACACCCTAGGAGGTAATAAAACAGCGTTTTTAACCCCTAAAAGGCGCGACGAGTGCCCCGTCTTTTTTATATGGGAGTTCCCCGGGGGGTCTACGCTCCTTCCGAGGGCTCCTTTTCGAACAGCGGCTGGTAAGACATGAACAAAATGATCTATAATCGAGTTCATTGTTTAAATAGCGTAAATGTGACATAATCAGCCAACCTTTGCAAATACATCAGAAGAGTGAGATAGCCGAACAGCACGGAGATCACAAGAAAAACGTATTGATAAGAAGGTTGAAGACCGAGCACTTCAGAAAACGGGGAAATAAGTGCCGTGGAAAACGTACAGACTTCAACTACGTTGCTTGTTTCAATGTATCGCCATTTCTGTAAGACAAATCAAATATTTTGTGTAAACAATAGCTTCTAGAGATTAATAGGAAAAAGCAGTCGACAAGGTGGGCAGGACAGGTTTTTAAAACAGATCGTTTCATTCAAATGAGTGTTATAACCACATGCATACAGAAAAAAAAATCAAAATTATTTATTTGTGGCTCTACTTGACGTGTGTGATTAAAGGCAGCAAACTCGTAGAGGGAAAAATATGCGTGGTTTGATCCATGTTGGTTCTTTTTAATTTCATTTTTGTTGTTCTATATAAAAAAAAACACTTAACTAGTGCTCTCTTCGAAAATGTTCTAAGTCTGTTTTACATACATAAACACATACATGGGTTTATTTTATCTCGAATTTACAGAGCAGTAGCTAAGAACCTAATATCTTCGTTTTGTTTCGTTTCACGTTGTTTTCCTTCTTCAACTTTGTCTGTAATGATATGGAGAGGTCGCGATTCTCTGGATATAGAGAGAACAAGCTGATTAAGTTAAAGTAGGAACAAAGTTACGCTACTCACTTCAGAGCATGCTTGATGCACTTCTATCAGCAAATAAATTGCAGTCGTGACGGTTATAACCATTTCCCAGACTTTTATGTTGTCAGTGATGCAAGCTCCCTGTGTAAAGATTTGAACTACATACGGTGACCGACCGGCAGTGTTCATTTGGAACAAAAGTTACTGCGGGACAAATCATATGTTATACTGTAATATTAAGTGTATGGCAATAAACAAATAACTCATAAAGCACAAAACATAAAAGGAGCTTATCAGAAGTTTATTTTTTTTGCTCTTTTAGCTTTGCTTTGCTCAACAATACTGTTATGTATTGAAGGAACAGGTAAATTAAAAGACAGAGCTACACGACCTCAAGATCTCGCATTTAAATTTTCTTTCTACGTCAATGATTTTTAAAGGTGTTTAAAGTATATAGTAAGTTGAAACGGAGCAGCGATTCTGTGTACTTAAGAAAGGTCTTTGTATGCTTTTCTACTAGGTATTTGAGAAATGTATGTCAGTTTTAATGCTACAAAATCAACCATTACTGAAACCAATGAAGATCTCCTTTGTATGGAGCTACCATACCTGTTTGACCGGAATGACTGGTCTGCCAGGATTGAGCAAGTAAAGATCTTGGATGCATAACATGTACAGTGTCAAGTTAGCCAGGTAAAATATGTAAATCAGAGCAGAGATGTAAAAGAACCTGACACCAATTTGCTTCCTGCAAAAAAAGGCATATAATAACAGTATTAGAAAAATCTATTATAATTTTACCTTGCGTGAGTTAAAAGTCTACTTTCATGAAAGAAACAACGTAACAGCTGATCTTACCATTTACATCGCATAAGCTCGACAGTGAGTGGATGAAAAATTAACTCTTCTCGTCCATAGTCCAGCATGGTCTGCAAATAAATTATCACTACATTAAGGAATCTAGCGTTTCAGTTTATAGATTCAATGATTTAGTTTGTTTTCATTGCAGTTATTGTGAAGTTAATGTAACTGTTTTGCTTATTGGTTTTGCCGTTGCTCTTTTCCTAGCTTTTTTTTTCGTAAAGTCGCTGTTGTAACCATTATTGTGGTTGTTTATGTTCAATATGTTGTCCTTGTTGTTGTTGTTGTTCTCCTTGTTGTTCTTCTTGTTGTTATTGTTTGTTGTCCTTTTCGTTGTCCTTAATTGTTGTTGTTGTCCCTGTTGTTGTTGTTCTCCTTGTTGTTCTTCTTCTTGTTGTTGTTTGTTGTCCTTGTTGTTGTCCTTGATTGTTGTTGTTGTCCTTGTTGTTGTTGTTGTCCCTTGTTTTTGTTGTCCTTAAGTGTTGTTGTTGTTGTTGTTGTCCTTGTTGTTGATGAAGTTGTTGTTGTTATTGTCCTTGTTGTTATTGTCATTGTTGTTATTGTCATTGCTGTTGCTATTGTCCTTGTTGTGGTTGTTGTCCTTGTTGTTGATGAAGTTGTTGTTGTTATTGTCCTTGTTGTTATTGTCATTGTTGTTGCTATTGTCCTTGTTGTTGTTGTTGTTGCTGTTGTTGTTGTTCATGTCGCTGTTAAGTTGTTGTTGTCGTTGTTGGTGTCGTCGCCGTTTTTGTTACCTTAGGTGCAAAGAAGCCACATCCGTCACTGAGGAGAGAGGGATCAGGATTCACGTGTTCAAAATCATAAGTTACCTAAAATGACAAATCACATGTCGTGAATAACCAAGACTACGTTTTTTTTGGAAATTATACTTCCCTTGACATCATACTAAGAATGTAAAGGAATTTATGAGCTAGCTTTCTGGCGGCAGATCTGGCAAAGTGAGAACTTTTTTTATGGCATTTCTTCCTATTGATGAAAAAGTTTGTCATAATTTTGCCCCTGCCTGGCCCAGTCCACTATCTACTGTGGGAGGATGCATCGTATGCGCGGTGTTAACGAATAAAAAAAGTCATGTGCACAGGTAGTATTTAAATAAATGTCTAGGAAGATATCTGCGTGCAGCAGGCATAAATGAAAGTTGCGTTTACACATTGGTTTCCTTTAAACTTCTTGTACTAATTTGTTTTAGTTCTTACCGAGTAATTCTCGTCTGAAGTCAGGTGTTCGGAGGTTTTAATGCACTTATCCATCACAACCTGAAATAAGCATCATTTAGATGACATCAATACACACAATCAATCTAGTCTAATGTAGCAAAACTATTCTGTTTATTAAATAGTATCATTTCTCACCTTTGCTAGAAGAGGAAAAGTTTCAATTAAACGCTTCAAGGGAATGAAGCTGGATTCCTTGCTGCACTTTGGAAAAGCCTCCTTCCACCTGCCGGGTTAAGAACAATTTTGCACCAACGCATTAGCAAATTTTGGAATTTTGTAGAACACAATATACATTTCATCTCATTTCAATACTGATTAATAAAGTAAATTCTGAATCTGTAGAAATGGCCGGTACTGGGTAAAACATGATACAGTGACGGGGAATTAATCTTCGATTGGCCAGTATACCTGTCGTGTTTGATAATCTCCATGCAAACGTCATGATGTCCATTTGATATTGCAGATTCCAAGCAGTTTTTACCATCTGTTGTCATGAGTCGGAGGTCTGCTCCTCTATCCAGCAAAAGGCGTAAAACGCCCACCTTGCCTTGCGTCGCCGCAGCAATCAACGCCGTACACTGTCGGCAAACAAAGATGGTAGAAGTCGCTTAAAATGGAACTGGCTCTTAGAAAATCCACCCAACTTAAGCCTCCCCGAGATGTTTTCGCATAATAAATTTTAACGTCATTTTACGGTTCAATTTTGAATCAAGAAACGTTCTGTACTTAATGATCTAGGCATTGCATGACCTAGACGAGGTCCATAAACACGCAAAAATGATCTAGGCCAATATCCAGCCATCTCAGTTCGCTAAACAACCTTGGTCAATAAAGGATTTATTAGCGTGTAGTCCCGAAAAGGCAAGGTACTAAATCCTAGCTTGCCCGTACGGGCAGCCAATCACAACTCGGGATTTGGTTCATAGCTGTATAGCCATACCATTATCACACCTACAACATATCTAGACCGTCCTATATACTTATCATACCCCGTTTTTGTCTGTAGCATCGATTTTAGCTCCTTGGTCAAGCAACAAACCCGTAGTTAACTTACAACCACAAAACGCTGCCTGAATCAATGGTGTCAAGCGTTCATCGTCTCTGAAAAAATAATGAACAAATATTAAACTGATAAATAGTACAGTCTTACCTTAGCTTTGCCAGAGACTAAAATAAGGCACTTTAGCTCGTAATAAAACTGACATTAAGAATATTATTAAGAACTAAAATATAGATTTTCTACTTGGTATTGAAAAGTATCGAGAGAGAGTTTCTTCAAAATCCTCTGATTATTTTTCCTCTTTGACTACAAGAACGACGAGCAAGGCTAACAAAATCGTTTGATTTCTACATGTTTCGCATTTATCTAGGTGTATTATACCCCTCAGACAAATTATGGTTGTGTTAACCTAGGAAAACGCATGAAGCATCTCACAATAAGAAAACGCTTTTGTTGACGAAGTAAAGCCCTCCTGAGAGTGACTGGGCCGTACAGCAACCACGAAGGCAATGCTAACTAACCTCAAAATAGATTTAAAAAAACAACGTACTTATTGCTACCAGTTCCGTTATCGTTTTTCACAAACCGCCTAATTAATTGCCTTCTTGGTATTCCAGGTTTGTGTTTCTCCAAATTTTTCACCTGCTATCAACAGCGGCCCCTTGTTCCAGAAGATATTTGGCCACAGAGATATGACCGTGCGTAGCGGCAAAATGCAAACAGTTTTGAAGACGAAAGTCGGTCATGTGAATAGTGTCTGGACAAGCTTCTAACAACGCTTGGACACAGGCAAGATCGCCATTTCTGTAGAAGATGGAAACCATGAGTTAGAGGTTGTCAGGGATGCAAAAGTATCATCATACGTCTACAAACATTTGCAAGAAAACACGTGATGTTGTATTTATGAGCGTCTTGAACTCCGAAGAAGTCCGGCTGAATTCCGGCCTCAATAATTGTGAAAGTCGTCTAGTCTAATGTTCTCGTGTTGTGTCAATCTGTTCTCAGTGGAAGATTCTTCAAAGAGTAGTTCAAATTTAACAAGCTGTAGTTTTCAACACTCACTCTACTGCGTAATGTAGTGAAATCCTCTCGTCTTCGTCTTTGATGTCCAATGTTGCACCAGCTATCAAAAGCTCTTGTATAATCTATTTGGACATAAAGAGCATTGATATTAAGAATTCTCTCTAGGAAGTTAAATTGAATTTGCAGCAGTAGTTGCTAAGAAGCAAAAAACTATCACCATGGCTACAATTAACGTGATAACTTTAATGTGGTCGGGGTACCTTCTTTGTGGTAATGAATTTATGTCTGACAATTTGAAATAAACTTTCTCACCTGTAAATTTCCTTTTGTCGCTGCGTAGTGAAGAGGTGTCTTATCATTTTTATCCCTGCTGTTTAACAAGCATTCTCCTCCGGCCTACAATCAGCCAAAAAATGGAATATTTGTCAGTGAACAGGATATTCACAGAATAAAGCTTTCCGCGCTTGCAGAGGTCGCACTTTTGGCTTCGAGTTATGACTGTATTGGTTTCTTCCCCAATTCGTCGCCAAACTGACTAGGCCTATCCTCAAATATCCGGATATTTTGGGGGATATTTGGAAATTTCCGAGATATTTATTTAATGTTAAGATATTTAGACAAATTTAAGGATATTTAGAGATATTTATATATAGCTTTTTTCATGACTTAGCCCAGTGTTTTCCTCGCTAGTTACTTGAAACAATACTCAGTTCTATATACGCCAGCAACAATCCACTTCAGCGAGTGTCCACTCGAAAACTGTATTTCATATCACTAAAACCACTAAAGCAGCAAGTTTGCAAAATGGCGGATGCTAGTAACATGGAAGTGCCTGAATCTTCTTCCTCATCTCCTGCTACTGCAAGAAAATTTTGACAATATGTTTTAGCCTAAGTGATTCAAAATCGGTTTATTTTCAAAACAAAATAAGAGATATCTAAAAGGTTTTTGAGATATTTAGAAAATGTCTCGTGATATTTTGAATTTTTTTGAGAATTTCCGGAAAAGATATTCAGGTGATTTTAAGTGATATTCGTGGAAAGCCTTAAACTAATAGCCTTGCGCAATTACTTTATCGTTAGGCCTATGTCAAATCTCTAGAAACTCCCCACCTGAATAAGTGTTTTCAGCGTCTCTGTCTCAGAGCTGTAAACAGCCACGTGTAAACATGTTCTGTGATTGAAGTCTCGCAGTTCAATCGGTGATCCTTGCTGCAGGAGAAATTTGACAGCGTAGTGATGACCTCTTTTCACAGCACACATTAATGGTGAAGGCCCACAATGGTTTGGTTAAGGTGAAATGTCAGCACCCTTGTTTTAAAAAAAATGATACGAAGGAAATGTTAGAGTCATGTAACCGAGTTGAAAAAGAACTAAATTTAAATTACCAATTACATAGCACATATCAGATTATACAGCACTTTACCGTACCCAAATTCGCAATTAGCCAATCAGAAGCCGTGTCTAGCTACTGTACTGATATCCTGTGATATCAAGTCACTGACCTGATATGGTTGCGATATCGATATCATGTTTGGGTGCGTTAAATACCTAATCGTACCTTTTTGGTATATCTGAGATGACGCCGAAGCGTACCAAAAAGGTACGATTAGGTATAAATATCAACTGGCTGTTCAATTAACCAATTCAAGTCTTTAGTTAATGAGGATCGACTGCAAATTCAAATATCTCTCCTGTACAATCTGTACAAGCACCCGACAGCTGTCACGTGAACTTGCCGCCATCAGATTACGTCATATTCTTAGAAATAGATTCTCTTAATAGTAACAATAACAATAATATAATTTTATATAGCGCATCCTTCTGAACATTCAGCAGCGCTGTACAATTTCCTGATAAGATGATAACTAAATAAAAAGAGATAAAAATGTTTTCAAATTTGTTGGAGAAAACTGATTTGTTTATCGCTAACCTTTGACAGAAGAAGTTCGATGATGTCCACATTCCCTGCCAAGCTTGCCCTGTGAAAAGGGGGAACAAAAATTAAGCAGAGCAAGTAGTAATTTCGCCTCTGGTATAGACATTAATCAAAGACAATCATTTAAATTAAAACGTTTCTATTTCTGTTATTATTATCATAACTGCTGTGGGATTTAATGTTATGATCACCTCATGTCAACGGTTTAGGTGTTAAGCTAAAGTATCATTCAACATCCTGTTTTCTGCCAAGCTTAATGCGTAAAACATAAAACACTAGTCGAGAAATAAGAAAATTGTTAACATACAGAATTGCCAGATACCAATGCCTCTCACCACCCTCTCCATCCATGCCTCTGACCCGACCACCCCTCACACGCAGGCACGCAATCATACGCGTGGGCCCGCGAACCCATGAGACCTTCATTATTACTGCAAGGAGATTCATGGGATCAATTACCTTAAGATAGGTGTCATTCCATCAGCATCTTCATCATGAATTGACGCCCCGTTCATCAGGAGAAGTTTGGCCATTGCATAATGACTGTTCACACACGCTACATGAAGAGGGGAACACAAATCATCCTGTGTGCGAAAGAAAGACGAAATTACTGTCTGTTATTCACACATCCACGGACTAACCTAGAACAAACGTCTTTTAGTTTCCCTACACTTCTTAAGATAGAAGGTTGAACGATGCAAACAGCTCATCTTTGTCACTTCGTCAAACACTTTTTAAAACGTGCTTGATCTGATTAGTTTTGTAACCGGCAGTACGTAGCAATACTGGGTACAAACTTTGACCCATTTGGCAAAGCAAGCGAATTAATCAGTTTTCGGACACTTAATCTCATTTCGGAAAAACGTCAGACAAAAATTGCAGACACTGCTGAAACATAGCTAAAGTAAATTTATGCCAGCAAAACACTAATTAGACTGAAACTACATCTATGAAAATATATCTTTGCACCCTCAAGGTTTTACAGATACACCGACGAGAAAGTGACACATATTCAATCAAGTCGTTACGCACCTCAAACAGTGTCTCTACTAGATTTCACTCACAAAGGAAACTAAGAGCTTTGGAACAACTGAAAAGTTTCATACTGATTGTAAATATTTCGGACGCTTAAACTTTCGGACGGTTTTATTTTCGGACACGAAATTTTTTGCAAGTAATGTAGTAGTCAATAGAACAAAGTACAAAATAGATTTCTAAGAAGCCATGTTATTAGGCCAAGTTCAGAGGCCATACTTCACATGAGCCGAAGCGAATGCAAATGAGAAAAATCCTTTGTTCTCCCTCATTATAATTAGCATTCGATTCGGCTCATTTGAAGTACGGCGTCTGAACTCGGCCTAAGAAGTATTAGTTTGGAGATAACCTCACCTGCAGAGCACAGGTATCAGCTCCATATTTTATGCAAACCTCAGCTGCCTGAAAAAAAATGTTCAGTGATAACAACCGATGCACTCTTTGTACTGTCATTGTCAACAGTCAAATACCCGGGAGGGGGACTTCCATTTAAAAAGGACATGGGTGCTCATAGGGGTTAACAATGCGGTTTTGGTAGCTCTTAGGGTGATCAGCCTCAAAATATCCACAGCGTGTGCTTTCACTGTACCTTTTAGGTTGTTCAAAACAAATATGCCAGGAGATATTTCACAATCAATTGACTTTAAATTTTGCCGCATTTACAATCGTTTTTTATCTGTATTAAAAATTATGAAAGTGTTAGTTAATTTGTTTTTTTCATAATTGGTACCTCTTAGGGCTGGAAAAAATTCAAGCTATGCTCACAATACAGGATCTTGGTGCCTCTTAGGAGTTCTTTTCAAACTTTTCCGACGAGCACACCCGTTCTTTTTATATGGGAGTAATTCCCCCGTGGTTCAAACGCTGACCACATACTTTACCTTGATGTGGCCATGTTGAACTGCCAAGTGAAGACACGAATTGGCATCGTTGTCCATTTTATTCAGAATGGCGGAACACGAAACACCGACATGACTGGCTGAAAAATGGAAACGATAATGTTCAGGTTATGCCATTACTGGCAAATGATAGGAAAACATTGCTTTGGTCTAACTTGACCATGTGATATCTCTGTTTAGAATTGTTTAATCTATCTCAAGGTTTTGTTTTGGATTTCTTTGGGTAAGAATAACTATTGTCCTCATCGGACAGCCCTCGTCGAACCTAGGGCCCGTTTCTCTAAAGCACAGGAACTTTTTCGGGCCCGCAAAGCCATTTTTAGTTAATCTGTAACCAAAAAAAGAGAGGTGTATACCCCTGAAATGTCTTGCATGAAGGGAACCTCTGTTCATATTAAGAACATGTGAATAAAACAGCGCCTTAATCATAAGATTTGAGATTTTGGTACAGCTTTCAGGGTACGAAAACGTTTCGAGACCTTCCAGAAACGGGCCCTTAGAGAGGCTGATGCAAAATGGACAAGATTACGTCACCCTTTCCAGGGATGTCATAAAAAGAAAAATACGGGCGGAAGTAAAAATTTAACTACTCAAACAAATGGTTCACCTGTGGAGAGCAATTTTTCTAGCACGCCATCATGCCCCTCTTTAGCTGCCAGATGTACTGCGGTGTATCCATCATTATCACTCATACTGGGGTCTGCACCATACTCCAGCTGAAAGCAAAATCATAGTATTTAGTTGATGATACGAAACAAAGCGGGCATGACTCGATTTAGCGGGGGGGGGGGNGGGGAAGGGACATTTGTTTCAAAATACAAAAGTACTACGACGACGGAGCTTTGGTGAAAAGTTTTGAACATAAAATTCCGCTGTTGCCAAGGGCAACTTTCCTCGTTTCCAATGGTAACAATATTTTCGCCTGCAATAGGCCACGTTCGGTATATCAATATTCTAACATGGCTCCGACTGTTTACGAAACGGAAATCAGCGGCTCCGAAGTTTTCGGGACAAAGTCTCTTTGTCTCTCAATTCCCAAAAGAGACCTGGATACAAAGAAAACAACACCAAAGATAGAAGTTTGTCCTGAAAGCCTCGGAGCCATTTTAGAATATCGATAAATCGAACGTGGCCTATTTCCCGCTCTTTGCTGCCAATGACGTCAAAGGCCGACAAGTTGCCACTGGAAACGGAGCGAGTTGCCCGTGACAACAACACAAATTGAACGTTAAAACCTGGGCACCAAACTTTCGTCGCGTCTTACTCAACTGATAATCGTAGTAATGTGTCAATGGAAATCTCTCCTCACCAGAATCTCGACTACATTCAGTTTTCCTTCTTGAGAGGCGGCGTGTAGAGGAGTGGAATTCTCGTTGTCGATGGCATTAGCCTTGGCATTCCCTTCTCTCAGCAAAACCTGTAAAAAAACAGTTATATGAAAATAAAGATGCAAAAAGAAGTCAAATGTAATAAAGAAATCTTTTTTTCAGACTATCGCTGACGGGAGTGAGAAAGGTGACGGATTTGACCGGTTTTCCAAAGCTGGGGGTCAGGATAAACTTTTATTCCAGGAATATAAGTTAAACTTGGCTTATTTTTCTGCTATAAAAATATTTTTTACACCTGAAGGCTGTAGCATTTTTAATAAGGTCTTACATAAAGAGCTCGATGCCCCTGGAAAAGCAGAAACAATGTTCCTGGCTCCAAAACAGTAACATCTGCTACACTGTAAAACTGATGCTCCATAAACGGAAACCCTTTTTTAAAATTTACAAAACCTAGACTACAATCAAAGCACACATTAAATAATCCCAGGAGCCATAATCTGGCTCCTGATAATCCTTAATGGTTCAATCATGCTTTGAGCTACCAGTTCCCTTGGAAGAACAAAGTATCGATATCATTTTTATTCCAATTTGCCTAGTTTAGCGTGTAACATTCATTTCTTTTCAGAGTTAGAGCAGTTTTCAATTGAGTGTCGTAAAACCAAAACTAAACTAATTACTTACCAATTAGACTACTCAGCGAATCTAAAACCGTAGTTAAAATCAAAACCAAAGTAATAATTGCCTGATTACTTTCCACACTCAATTGAAAACTGCTCTATCGCACATCAAAAACAAAATACATGTCACACTCATCCTCATACATGTAAGGCAAGAAAAATTATAAGTAAGGAAATAAAATTTATCTGACTCTATCATTTTGTAGTGATGAGACCCACCTGAACAACTTTCAAGTTTCCTCGTCTTGCAGCGTAATGTAAAGCCTGCTGACCATAATTAGATTGCTTTGCTACATCTGCTCCATTTAATATCAGCAAGTGTGCTGTGTCAGGACTGTTGAATCTTGCCGCTATTTGCAGTGGCGTGGTAAACTTGTTGTCACCATCAGAGCAAACATTTAGATCTGTCATTAACGAAATAAGTCTGAGAAGTTAAAAAAATCACCTGCCACAAAACTCAAGTTGTTTACTGTTACAACGTTTTCCGAAGTTTTCGCCATATACAAGCATGTAAGTTGGCTGAGAATGGAAATCATTTGAAAATGAGAGCATTTTAATTGGTTTGCGAAATATAGGAAACAGTAATTTTCGCTTCCCAACCTTACTGACTTAACAAAAAAGAAAACTATTTGACATTAATTCAGTATTTAACGATAAGACTACGAGCCCGAATTTTCAGTGAGTGAATAGTCAACGGGACCTAGCCGAGTTGACTGTCGCTCATAAAACAAGGGTGAGTTGTCTTATTATTTTAGTAGACACTCTCAAGGAGTACAGCACAAAACCTATAATTTTGTGATTTTTAGCCTAAAATTAAAAATAATTTTCAGTTTAAAAAGATACTCGTGCCCGATTAATGTCTATCAGCGACTAGAAAACAATGAGAGAACCAATCAGATTCGCTGATTTTCAAAAGAACACAGCTGATTGGCTACTAAATTATAACAGTGGATACCTTTACCTGCGCCTGCACTTATGAGCAGCTGCACAATTCCTGCGCGGTCATAACGAGCCGCGTAGTGGAGTGGAGCGAACCCTTCTTTGTCTAAAGTGTTGATAGTTGGTACGCTCCCTTGTAGCAATGTCCGAACAACATCCACAATACCTTCACGACAAGCCTGTGGAAAAAAAAAAAA